CTTGCTGCTGCGTGGCGGGCGTGGAGCTGTGGGCCGTGTGCTACGAGCGCTGGCTCGCGCCGCTCGACGTGCCCGGCCAGGGCGCCGTGCAGGCGCACGTCAGGCACGCCAGCACACGCCACCAGGTACAGGGGACATGACACGCCAGAGGGGACATGTGGTCCAAACAGGGGACACGTGCACTTTCATAGGGGACAACTGCTTAAATTCAGGGGACACGTGCTCAAAACAGGGGACACGTGCACTTTCATAGGGGACAACTGCTCAAACCAGGGGACACGTGCACTTTAATAGGGGACAACTGCTCAAACCAGGGGACACGTGCACTTTCATAGGGGACAATTACACGCAGCGCACTTATTCAGGGGACAAGTACTCACGCACAGGGGACATGTGGTCAAACCAGGGGACACGTGCACTTTCATAGGGGACGCTAGAGCCTTGCTGCTGCGTGGCGGGCGTGGAGCTGTGGGCTGTATGCTACGAGCGCTGGCTCGCGCCGCTCGACGTGCCCGGCCAGGGCGCCGTGCAGGCGCACGTGAGGCACGCCAGCACACGCCACCAGGTATGGGACATATAGGGGACATGATAAACCAGGGGGGACAACTGCTCAAACCAGGGGACAAGTGCACTTTCATAGAGGACAACTGCTCAAATTCAGGGGACACATGTTCGAATGCAGGGGACAACTGCTCAAACCAGGGGACACGTGCACTTTCATAGGGGACAACTGCTCAAAACAAAGGACACGTGCACTTTCATAGGGGACAACTGCTCAAACCAGGGGACATGTGCACTTTCGTAGGGGACAACTGCTCAAAAATAATTTAAAAAAACTCAATCTCAACATTTATTTTTGCAAATAGGCTTTTAAAAAGTACTTTTACACGTCCCAGTATTAACCCTACCACTGCTTCGGGACAATAAATGGGCCAGTGCTGAGAAGATTCAAAATGCAAATGCAAATTCAGGGGTCACATGCGCTTACACAGGGGACAAATACACATCCACAGGGCTTGAAAGTAAACATAAACAGAGAACACAATATACTGACCATAGCTGGACACAAAAGCGTTAGTTAATGAAGTTAATACTATTATTTCAAATTCAAATAGTTTATTCAATACATAGGCCCTTTCCAGGGCACTTATACCCGTCCCAAATATAGCTTGCCCTACCACCACTTCGGGACAACATATGGGCTGGTGCTGAGAAGAAGTGGTGAAGAAACTCAGTCACCTTCTGACATTAACTAACTGACACAAGTATAACTTTGTCCCCAGATCAACCAGCTAACCGAGAAGCTGAACTCCCTCTCGATCCTCAACAACAGACAGTCCGTCTCCGAAGAGGCGGCGCCGTCGCCTCCTCCGCTAGTGCCACGATTCTTTCCCTTCAGCGTGGGGCGCTCCGCCCTGCCTGCCGCGCCGCCAGCTTCTGCCTTCGACGCGGGACAACTGTTGGACTCGCAGTCGCTGCTTAACGCGCCCGATTAACATGTAAAGGGAGGTGAGATGATAAACCAATGGCGGTTTGACGGGTGGGAGTAGCTTGACTAGAAATAGAAATAAAAAGTATTTATTGACATGAACACAGGAAATTACAAATGAACAAAGATAGGTGGGATTAAATGCCTTAATTTGAGTTCTGAAAATATTAGCTGTCTTAAATTGATCAGTTGTTGTTTTTTGATCAGTTCCAAAAATGTTAACTGCGAGTAAGTCATAATAATGTCTTGAGCAAAATGGATGGCAAATAGGAAATATTTGGTTTGGTTAGGTTTAATTTTCACCGGCCAAACTTAGTAGCACTTTCATGCTATATTTTGTCTGCTGAAACACTATAGATAGACTAGCAATTGACTGATTCATACATTAACGAGTGAATAGTTCCAGAAATATTAGTGATATTACATTTCTGGAGTCGATTTGCTATCAAGTACGTAGTTGACATTTTTGGAACTCTATTATCTTGCGATAGTTAGGTAACTAATTTTGGAAATTTTAATCCGTGGTCAAGTTCTAACTTTCACCAGCCAAATCAAGTACTAGTATTTTCGTCACGATGCTAAATAACTTTAGTTGTGATTTCGTCATAAACTGTTTCGATGTATAAATCTTTTAAACGATTATGTTGTGCTCTTTTAGTTAGGTCTTCTCTAGCTAGATAAAGTACTGGCGACACAATATGCGTTCAGTGAGATACGTGAATGGCTTACACGCCATTCAATATTACGTAAATGTATCAACATTTTACTTAACGGGCCTACGGGAGCTCCTTGCGACACACCCTATTAGTTGTCCCGTTATTAAAAAGCGAAATACTTCCATTTTAAACTATAAAAGATGTTTTCCTGCTTGATAATTATACATATTAGTATTTGACTATACATCGCGAATAATTGGCCGTGCACTAGTTAATGCATTTTCAGTTTTGTAAGATTTTTATGAATAATTCAGTCTTTCTGAAAACATTTTCACATTATATTTATGTAAAAAATAGCCTTTATTTATAAGATGTACATATATTAGAGATAGAATTTGCTTGATTGTAAAAGGAACATTTTAAATAGTAAGTTATTTTTAGTAAGTTATATTTAAAAGGAATTGATTCAATATATTCCGTAGAACAAAGTAGTGATATTTTTTTATAAATATGTATGTATTGTAAATTCTATGAAAATAGTACATGGTGTAACCATTTATTTTTTCTAAGACGGAGTAAATTATTTTTTAAATCGAAGTATTATTTTAACAATTGAAGGTATTTCTAAAAGCCATTCCAGTAGAAAGTAAAAATGATTTGAAAGAAAATTTAATAAATATTGCGTATTTGAATGAGCTATAATTTAATTAGTAGAAAAACCTTCCTTAAGCATGTGTAATGTAAATCTGAATACCTAGTTACCAATACGGTAATAATGTTTGTGTGTGTACTAAAATTTATGGTCATAATTTACTCCACGTAGCTTATGATATGACATACGACCACATAGAATCATAGGCGGTATACCATGTAATTGATCCCAATCTATTCTGTTACCACTACTTCTAATGTTGTATTTATTTCGTCTGTACAGATACCAAAATCAGTAAGTTATTTTAATTGTTGTTGTAAATATGGCAGCTCCCAGTTATTCACGTTTTATTGTTCTTCGTAACTGATATTTATGCAGATTTTAGCACCATTTTGTATTCCATATCGCGTCGTTTATATTGCAATGCAAATAGTTTATATCTTTGTTTTATAACTTCAAGTTATTGCGTGTCTTGGAACACGAGGACTGATAAAATAAAGATAAGTGGGTGTAAAAAGTTTTCATTAGTAAAGTAGAACTACATTTTTCGTCTACTTCGGTTTGTTGAGCTTCCTCTCCACGGTATGAGCTACACATTACTCCATGATCTACTTAAAAAATTTCATGTTGGCACAAATAGCGTGTTGACGATTATTTGGTTCAGGATTTTATTTTCAAGAATTGTAATCGTTATTGCCTTAGTGTGACTGAGAAACTAGTAAATTAGGTAGTTTTTTCCTGACTAAGATTGTAACTAAATTCCGCATGCCGATATTTAGACTAAATCTGCCTAAAGTACATGCAGTAATTTCTTCCAGTCTTGATCTTGGTTGTATTTTCTCTAATCTAGAAGTTTGTTTAGACAAATATTTTACCTAGCGAGATAAAATGCCCCAAACCAGAAGCTAACCATTGTCGTACTAAAGTATTAAACCACTCATTTATTTTAACTCGCCCAATAAGTTTCGATATAAATATCCTCCAACTACCCGCCATTGGACGAATTGAAATAAGTGAGTGAATTGTTGACTTGTTACGTTTAGTGTATAGTGTAATATTGTAAGAGTAAGTCAATTGTAATTATTATATTGGTTTAATAATAATTTTACGAACTGTTATATGATTAATATATACAAGCGAAGGTATGCTTTTGTGACTAATATCGTTTGTCTCAGCCATGGTAATTTGTCGTGCCATCCCATTGAATAGGATGTCGGTTATGTCCAGTCTAGGATCCCAGTGTTAATGGCGTAGTCCCCGTTCCAACATACGTAGCGTCTCAATGCCTGTTGTTAAGTGTACCTGACAACGTGAAATGCAAAATGTTCAAACATGAGAAATAAATGCGGTATTATTGAAACATGTCTTTTATTTCTCTTTGCTGTACAGCTCCTTGGCACGTCCACGTCACTACACATCAACGATACATTCCACTATCCACTACGCATTCAATAATCTGCACAAACATTTATAGATAAATTATTTACATTTACAAAAATCAGGTACATTTGGGGCGCAGCTTACATTATTGAATAGTGAATCACATTAACAAGATTTCAGGAGTCTGTTAAATACGTGTTTCTTACTTTGGAAACAACTCCGGGCTTTTGCCACAAGCAAAATCGTCTTCCTTTCAATAATATTGCACATCATTTGATGCCTTCTAGCATTCTTCTCATTGTATCTCTTTCTTGCACAAAAAATTAAACTATCTAAGAATATAGTGACCGTCTTTTAGGCAAATAAGTAGATAACCGTTCTAGAATCTACTTGCTTTTCTCGGAGCTTTTGTTTTCATTTGACCTGATCTTCCTAATCCTGTCGAAGTGTGTCTTGGCGATTCGCAGCCGGTTCAGCAGCATCGTCCGCTCCCAGCTCCAAGTTGACCAACGCTGTGAAAAACATAATGATTGTCTAGTGATGTTATTGAAATAGAAAGAAGGGAAAATTAGTTTTCGACTTTGCCTTTCACCTCTATTTTACTTTTTATCCAAGTGACCTATGGATGAGGAGACACATCAGAAATAACATAACGTTCAAATAGTGAAAGGTGCTTGTAATTTTTTGATAAAATATGTTACAAAAACATAAAAATAAAAAATTTCTCAATACTCACTTTATAGCCAATCGATTTCAAAAAACTAAATAAATAATACAATTCGAATTATTTATAGTAATTTAAAGGGAGAAAGAAAAATACATGTTAACATACCACAATCGCATTTAATTCATGCACTGAATAAATAAAACTAACAATTCCTCGTTCACAGAACAAAATTGCGCTACTTTATCAGGCAAAACATTTGACAGTCACAAACTGCCTCAAACTAATTTCACTAACACCACTAAATGCTTTGGATATGTTACAGTGCACATGACTACAATAGTGTAATGTATCTTGAGCAAATTTGCAAAGCGGTGCTTATTCTGAGATACAGTATATAGGTAATTTTAGACAATGCAGTACTTAATATTTATGGTCCATTCTTCAGAATGGCCCATGACCATGAAGTTCTAATGACAAGATTCGATATGACGGACTTACAAAGGGCTCGGCGTCTCTCGCATGAACATTTTATTATATCTCAGAATTGACACCTTAAATCTATTATGTTATAAACATAAATTCACCATAGGATTTTTGGTCATTATCATTACAGGAACCACAAATCTAAATCTAGTCACCAAAAAGCTGCGATGAACCTACCCTAGACTAGCTGTTGTAACAATAAATAATCTGGTATATAATTTGGTCAACTTTATTAAAATCACATTTAAAATGTATATTGAAGTCCACTTTGAAATTGAAATTCTAAATCAAATGAGAAGATTGTTGGCCAAGGTAATTTATCAACAATCAAAAGCATAATAAACATGATCATGGTAACGAATACACAATGATTACAACAGAAAACAATCATTTCGATGCGGTATATAAATGCAATAACAGTATTTGTTTAACAATAACATTATATCTATTACAATTACAACAGTTCAGTAAACTCACAGTCATTTCGAGGCGTAAACAAACCTGAAGTTGCCTAACATCTACCCTAACGTTATGTCTTCGGTGTTCTGGCGCGCGCATTCGAGCTAGTCAAGCACCAGCGTCAGTTGTCGTCCTCCTCATTCTCAAACATCTCGTTGTAATCCCCGGAATGTTCGAAATCTTTCAAGTCCTGGACAGAGAAACGTCCATGAGTCTTGTTGAGAATGAATAAGAATACAACAGTGTTCAACCAAAATATCCACGATTTGTGCACATTTTTTTGCTTGATATAGGAAAGTTAAAATATTTGGTTAATGATAAATTTTAGTTTTAGTCATTTCATGTTATTAATACAATAAAAACATGAAAATTAGCAGACATAATGGTTGAATAGTGATATTACATGTTAGCTACATTATTGCATAACACATTTTCAACATGCAAGCAAAAGATATAAAATACAGCAGACAAAACAAAGCCAGGCATATTAAATAAAAGCTTTAGAAGGTAGTTATTTTCAGGGTAACCGCCCGATAATGGCCGCACAACAAACGTACACCGCCGCCTATAAGAAGCGTCGGGCCGGCAACGTCGCATCTCTCTCCATAGTAACGGGCGGCCTTGCGTTGAGCGTAAATAGTGCTAGCGACGCGTGTGTCCAAATATTACCAATTTTGGGATGATATTTTGAGTAGCTTAATTTAACTTTTTTTTTTTGCATAAATAGGATTAGTATCAATAACTCATTACCCAGAATTTTTTTTTTCGGTGATAAAAATTTAGTGGTGTATATAATTTTATTGTAATCGATGTGGTGACTAAACATGTAAGCGCTTTGGGTTTTCTGTAAGCTTATTATGTTGCTCATTAAATAAATAACCAATTAAACATGCAAAAAAAAAATACAAGGCGTATTTGAAGAAACATATTATGGTACTTTAATTCTCTCTTTGCCTTCAATCACAGAAATGTTAATTTCAAATAAGCCCAGAATTCACACCATCAAGTTAACAGTTAGAAGCCAAAACAGAAATGTGCAATAAAATCATTAAAAGTTAAAAGAGTAAACATGCAAAATACAAAGGTGACATAACTCAAAAAGATTTTCAGTCACTCACTTGGAACATGCCATTTGCCACTGCATAACCAGTCATAGCAATGGCAGCGAAGAGAGCTGCCAAGACCTTGTTCCTAGTTTGGTTAGGGAAGTTTGCTGCCTCTCTCTCCGATTGTGTACCCGTTGAATGTTTCTTGTTTTGCTTGTTGTATTCTGGAAGTTTTATACATCATTATTTTAATGTGGAAATAATTTCCGCATCAATTTTATTTTATAACTAACTGACACATGGCGAACTTCGTGCTGCCAATAAAAATTCCATAGCCTATGTTTATCAGGGATAGTGTAGCATTCTAATGGTAAAATAATTAAAAAATCGATCCAGGAGTTTCGGAGCCAATTCAATACATACAAACATCCTATTTTATAATATTACATTTTAAAACTACGTACCATCTGTAACATGCCTGAAGTTTTTCTGGTTGATCCTTGCAACAAACCGAGACAGGTTAGCTATGCCTTTTACATGGTTCGACAGTGATGAGTTGGGGAAAGGAGCTTTAACTAATGGAGCTAAGTAAGCAAACACCGTTGCGTCAAATGACGAAGGCCTGTTACCAAAGAAATATTCGCTTTCTCCGAGACGGTCTGACAATGTTTTAAGGCACTTTTCTGCTTCGTTGTAAATCTGAAAATATTAAGACAATTTTGAGCTTAAGAATCATTTGAACAAACAGAATAATTTCAATAAAGTTTATATTTTAGACAAGCATGATACTTACAGTCTTTTCTATTTCTTTTAAGTCCGTATGCTCTCCATATAATGCATCTATCATTTCTTTGGCAGCATTCTGATACCGTGAAGGGTAATAAAAGTTAAATGGAATCCTCAGGGCTTTAGCGTATGTGGGACGTGTGAGTTCACCATAGTTCTTCTCGTCTACCCACCAGGCATACATGTACGCAGGGTACAGCTTATCTCGGAGGTACTGAGTAAATGCACTAGCCTCTGCTGCTTGCTTTGTGTTTAAGTGGACATCTGTGCTATAATGCTGTAAGATTTTGATAGCTATTTAATATTCAACTCTTACTAATTGTTAATTTAAGCTAATATTTATTGTTACGGCTTTCGTAGTACCAGGATTAAACTTTGTATAAATTGAATTACAATACAATACTCACCAAGGACTTCAAATGTTCCACAACTTCTTCAAAGTTAGTAAGAACTTTACGTCCATCTCTCATGACTGGTAAACGCCCTTTTGGGGTGAAGAACGGATTATTCGCTTCGCGGACTCGCACTGGTACTCCAATAAATTTCATGTAAGTCTGCAAAATGTTTAGAAAACCCAAAATTATTAAAACCATTCACAGGAGCCGGTTGACAATAATACGCTAGGTTATGTAAACTTCTTACCAAAACCTTGAGGCATTCCAAATCAATGGATGCTAATCCCCATTCTCCTCGCCAAATATCAAGCTCTATGCTAGTCATTGTTTAAAATTGTATCTAAATTATTTAAAAGAAAGCTCTCATTTCATAATTTTATCCACAAGATTTATGATCAAGGATCGAAATCGAATTTGACAATTTTGATTTTGACATATGTTTTTGACAACTAAGAATGGGAAAGTTGTGGGAAAAGTCTATGATTTTAACTAGTGAGAGAAACAAAAAGGGTGAAAATTTTTAAATCTCCCTACTGACTGCAACGCACACAAATATCGGGATCGTAATGTAATCGTCCCACCTACGCGCCTTGGCACCATGAAGCTAAAGATAAAAATGGAGGGCAGAGTTGGAACAAAAACTTGAGTCAAATACCTACTTATATCTATCTCGCTCTCTGCGGCCCTACCTCTCTTTTTAGTGTGAACTGTAGTATTGCTATCTTCTGATTTAAATCTCCTTGTAAATTCTTCGAAATAGCCAATTCACTAACCAAATCAGAAGTTAAACAAATAAATAATTAATATTTGAAACTAAGATTACCTAGTTAAATAAAAAATCGGGTATTTCGCCAAAAATGGTCAATTTTGCCTAATTTCCTTGGTACGAAATATATTTTTGTTTTTGACTATTTTTAGTTTCCCATTGTATTCANTCTGCCTAGGCTACAATTAACAAGACATTGCTATGAAGATCATTTCGATGTAGGTACACGCAGTACCTACCTGTTATTTAGATTTTTTGAGTTAAACCTACGTACCTACCTATCTATTCGCCGTTCCCATGGGCGGGCCAGCTGCTGCAGGAAAGGACAGCTGCTGCAGGAAAGGACAGCTGCTCCCTCCCTCCTGGAAATCTATTTAATCTTAGCCTAGAAGCTGGGTATGACTCCCCCGCCCCCCTCCTCTCCCCAGGTCATAAGCTAGGCATGACTTCCCCCTCGGCCAGAAGTNGCTCTTAACAGACGCCAAACCAGAAATGTGCAAAATCTTTAAAAGTCAAAAGAGTGAACATGCAAAATACAAAGGTGACATAACTCAAAAAGATTTTCAGTCACTCACTTGGAACATGCCATTGGCCACGGCATAACCAGTCATAGCAATGGCAGCGAAGAGAGCTGCCAAGACCTTGTTCCTAGTTTGGTTAGGGAAGTTCGCTGCCTCTCTCTCCGATTGTGTGCCCGTTGAATGTTTCTTGTTTTGCTTGTTATATTCTGCAAGTTTTATACATTATTATTGTAATGTGGAATTCATAATTTTTGCCTCAATTTTATTTTATAATTAACTGACACATGGCGAACTTCATGCTGCCAATAAAAATTCCATAGCCTATGTTTATCAGGGATAATGTAGGATTCTAATGGAGAAAGAATTTATCTAACCGGTCCATACTTTCGGAGCAAATTCAATATAAATAAACAAACTGTCAAATATTTCCTATTTACAATGTCACATTTTAAAACTACGTACCATCTGTAACATGCCTGAAGTTTTTCTGATTGATCCTTGCAACAAACCGAGACAGGTTAGCTATGCCTTTTACATGGTTCGACAGTGATGAGTTGGGGAAAGGAGCTTTAACTAATGGAGCTAAGTAAGCGAACACCGTTGCGTCAAATGAAGAAGGCCTGTTACCAAAGAAATATTCACTTTCTCCGAGACGGTCTGACAATGTTTTAAGGCACTTTTCTGCTTCGTTGTAAATCTGAAAATATTAAGACAATTTTGAGCTTAAGAATCATTTGAACAAACAGAATAATTTCAATAAAGTTTATATTTTAGACAAGCATGATACTTACAGTCTTTTCTATTTCTTTTAAGTCCGTATGCTCTCCATATAATGCATCTATCATTTCTTTGGCTGCATTCTGATACCGCGAAGGGTAATAAAAGTTAAATGGAATCCTCAGGGCTTTAGCGTATGTGGGACGTGTGAGTTCACCATAGTTCTTCTCGTCTACCCACCAGGCATACATGTACGCAGGGTACAGCTTATCTCGGAGGTACTGAGTAAATGCACTAGCCTCTGCTGCTTGCTTTGTGTTTAAGTGAACATCTGTGCTATAATGCTGTAAGATTTTGATAGCTATTTACTATTCAACTCTTACTAATTGTTAATTTAATTTAATATTTATTGTTACGGCTTTCGTAGTACCAGGATTAAACTTTGTATAAATTGAATTACAAATACAATACTCACCAAGGACTTCAAATGTTCCACAACTTCTTCAAAGTTAGTAAGAACTTTACGTCCATCTCTCATGACTGGTAAACGCCCTTTTGGGGTGAAGAACGGATTATTCGCTTCGCGGACTCGCACTGGTACTCCAATAAATTTCATGTAAGTCTGCAAAATGTTTTGAAAACCCAAAATTAATAAAACCATTCACAGGAGCCGGTTGACAATAATACGCTAGGTTATGTAAACTTCTTACCAAAACCTTGAGGCATTCCAAATCAATGGATGCTAATCCCCATTCTCCTCGCCAAATATCAAGCTCTATGCTAGTCATTGTTTAAAATTGTATCTAAATTATTTAAAAGAAAGCTCTCATTTCATAATTTTATCCACAAGATTGATGATCAAGGATCGAAATCGAATTTGACAATTTTGATTTTGACATATGTTTTTGACAACTAAGAATGGGAAAGTTGTGGGAAAAGTCTATGTTTAACTAGTGAAAGAATCAAAAAGGGTGAAAATTTTTAAATCTCCCTACTGACTGCAACGCACACAAATATCGGGATCGTAATGTAATCGTCCCACCTAGGCACCTACGCGCCTTGGCACAAAGCACAGAGCCCCGATTACGGTATTTTTTTGGATCGGAGATGTTAAAATGACCGTAATCGAGGCCCAGAGCACTAGCACAAAGTACAAACTCACGAACCGCGCTGCATGGGATCAACTAACTTACAGGAAGAAACTAATTTAATTTTAAAAAATAAAGCAAAAAAAGGAATGGAATAAAGCAAAAGAAGGAGAGGAATTGCAAAGTTATAGACATTTTTTAACTTTTATTCGATTTTGAATGAACATTTATATCGCCACGTCGGTCGCGGCGTCGTTGGTGGTTCAATGTGCATTTTGGCTGCCATTTTCCGATCGAATCGAATTACTGGAGACGCGGCGACTGACATTAGCGAAAACTTCCTATTGGTTTGCGATGGCATTTTGACTAGACCCACAGAGTTGCAGAGTGTGCTGTGACCTTTTATCATAAAAGGGGGGAAAACCAAATTGGCATAAACTGACTGACCGTAGACTATAGATGACGCTGTCTTTTTGACGTTTTGCCTTTTGCCTGCAATGACATGACATGACATTTCCCATCTGACAGTGACGGATGGACAGTCTTGCGTGTTTTTTTGTGAAAAAATCAAGAAAGTTCTTTGGTTTTACGAATTACGTTACTGGAAAAAGGTGTCAACAATCGGAGAGAAAACAACAATCAGCAGAAAACGAACCAATTAGTAATAGGCTATTGAAAATTGATTAAACATGTCTATACAGTGGACCTTTATTGCCGGCTATCTTTACTTCGAAGTTGCAGTTGTTATGCTGATGATACTACCCATCTTTAGTCCTCGGCGATGGCATCTGTTCTTCAAGTCGCGTTTGTTTGCAATGTTCAGGGAGCACGCGGGTATTTACTTCTACGGCCTGCTCGGAATTCTGTGTCTGTTTTTGGTGGACGCCATTAGAGAAATGAGGAAGTACTCTCACACAGATGCCAGTTATACACATTTCGCCAGCGAAATGAAAGGCAGCGTCAAGCTATTCAGAGCTCAAAGAAACTTCTACATCACTGGATTTGCAATTTTCTTATCATTCGTAATTCGTCGTTTAGTGAATATGCTGATTATTCAAGATGAACTGAGTTTGAAAGCTCAAAGAATTATTAAGGAAGCCGAAGCCGCTGTGAAATTAGCAAAGACCACTGTGCTTGCTAATACCACGGCTAATACTATACGTGCAGCTGGAGAGAATTATCATGAGGAGACCAAAAAGCAGTTAGAAATCACAAAGAGTTTGTTGGCAGAAGAGAAATCAAGAGTGAAGGAATTGGAAGAAGAAGCTACCAAGTGGAGGCTGAAGTATGAAGAAGTATCAGAAGGGCTAAGTGGAAAAGGTGATGAATGAGCTTGATCATCAACCTGGAAAGCCTATCATGATCTAAAATTTGCCATGTGAAGGAAGAAGTGTTGAGAATGAAGAGTTTGTTTTAAATGCTCATAAATGTATACCCACATCAGAAATATTATGTACTACTTCTTACTTTAAATTCTGTGATTGTTTGATGAAGGTGCTGTTGGTAGATACTTAAATTAGATTTGGGCATCATATCTAATTAAATTATGACAATGACTGGCAAAATTTTCCAAATATTAATCTAGTCTTTTTTTTAAATTATCTTGCTGGTGTAATTTGTTGATAACATTTCAATAACCAGTTTAAATATAAATAAAAGTTTGTTTTAGTATTAATACTAGTCTGTAATGTGGTATGTGTGTGCAATAAAATGCATGTAATCTCTCTACCTAGATTTACTCATGTATTTTAATATTACATAAGTTTTAAATTGATTGCTACTAATAACTTATGGTATTTACTTAAGTATTTGGTTATAATGACCTATGTAATGTGACTTTAAAATAAATAATTGTAATTCTTTTAAAAACTTTATTTTATTCTCAAACCAACATCATAGACCAGATTTTGCATGTCTGCTGCACCTTACTGGTTCGAAATGTTTGTTGAAGCACCTGCCTGGTATAATCTAGAAATGCGTTGGTGGTGTGTAATGCATAAAAATTAGAATAGGTTGCATCATTGATCATCATGATCATGATTAATTTTATTTAAAATCGAGAGTATCGGACAGAGAGTCCCAAGAATCTAATGATGGCAAGGCAGTAAAATACTATGAGGAATGATGAGTTTTGCCTGCATACAAAGAAAAGTTTTTTCATTTTGGTATGCGTTTTGGTAAAACGATACTTGCTTGTATCGGACAACTTAATCGCTGTCAAAACAGCCAACCAAATGTCACTGTCAAACGGCGTCTGTCAAAAATATTTAAAATAGATTATTTTTTGGATTTTTGTAAAAATTATCCAGATTCCAGATTAAATTCTATTAGAATTTTCAAGTGCATTGTTTTCATACTGCATTTTCACTGATTGTGCTTTTGCAACCGCGTGTGTACGATGAAACTGTGCGTCTAACAGTACTTGATTGTGCAGCGAGGATTTTGGTGACGACCGTCACCGTTACTCTCTATTTATGAATGTGGGAATCTTCAATAGAGTTAATCACCAGGTGAGGCAGACACGTCGATGCTATTCATGCGGAAAAAAATATATTTTATACGTCTAGAATGGTAAGTCTCGCCTCTGTTACAGTTATCCAGTAACATGTATTATTCGGCCAATTATTATTGATAGAATATTTTAGACCTTTATTTACAATGTTCAGTAAACAAATACAACCAATTAAACATTGAATGTTGTTGGGGAATCTATATTGAGAGCTATTTTTATTTTATTTCACTGTAATGTTTAAGATTAAAAAATTTCCTATTATTGTTACTGGTAGATGTTTAATAATTGGAATACACACAACTATAAATGATTTTCCCATTGTGTGTACCTAGTTGCAAATAGGATATTTAATGATTTTGTTTTGTTTTCTAGTAGGTATGTGCTATAAATTACATCCTTTAATTTTGCCACATGCACCTAACAGAATAATATTGCTCCACGTTGTTACACAAAGATGTTAAACTTAAATAATAAATGCTGATAATGATTTCACTAATAATAAATTCAGCAGATGAAGCTATAACTTTGCTTCTACATGTTACTGTAGTGCGTATGAGCCAATAATTTAATGATGATCTAGTTTCCGATTTTGTGGATAACTGAATTAGCTACACAACTTACAAATAAAATGTACATTCAAATCAATGATGATCCATTGTATATGTATCATGAGTTGTTAAAAAGCTACTTGCGAGTATTTATAAATTATTATAGCTGTTTTATGCAATATGCATTCTAAGACAATTTATAAATATGTTAAAGTTTAGTTTATTATGTAGAAATATGTAGAAATATCAACATATTTTTGCATTTCCTACATGCCAATGGGTACCTATTAGATAAAAAGCTTTCAATTTATCTAACCTCCGCTTTACAAGTGTGTTTAAGACTGTTAATGTGTTATCACAGGCTGTGTAAACACATGTTCTGTTAATTGATAAAGCTGAAACAGAATCCAGACATTCTGTTAACATTGTTTATTTATGTTACTGGTGTGTGTGCTGTGCTTTATAGTGAAGGATTTTTTTATTAAAAATGTGTGATATGGTTAGTAAAGTTTATGATTGTTATTAGTGAATTATGCAGTTCATTTATGTTTATTTATACTTTTCCAAAATTTCAAATTTTATCTTAAACCCCTCCAATCAAGCGAAGATGTTTATGTTAGAAGTGAGTTCATATAATAGTCCAGTGCTGCAGTGGATGAGAGGAACCAACTAGATAGTGGTAATTACTAACTAATAGTGTGTCTAAATCAGGGTTCGAAAATATCCGATATTTATTATAAATATCAAAATATCGGATATTTATGATATATATCCGATATATATCAACTTTGATATATATCAATTTTGTATGAAAGCCATAGTATTATTTTATTGTATTATTCGTGAATACTATTGCATATGTGTTACATAAACATGTTTTTAATGTTTTTAAAACTTAAAATCAGACAAATAAAGCAAAAACATAAAATATATTTGAAATACGGCAAAATCAACTAAAAAAATAAAAATCTTATGTCAAAAAGTCCAAATACAGTAACAAATTTTAAAAGTTGATATATATCATCAAAACCGGCTTGATATATATCGGATATATATCCGATATATATCTTGATATATATCCCTTGATATATATCCTCGAACCCTGGTCTAAATGGACATTTATTTAACTTAAAACTCCTCCTATGTTCTTCTGATTACATTGCGGGTCCAGTTTAACTTTTCCCCAGGACAAACTTGACCTTCACTGGTTAAGTTTTTATTAGTGGTCAAGCTGTAGATCCTGGCTATACAGTAGTTGCAGCGGTGGGAACGAGAGGTGGGAACAGTCCCGTTTTAATTCTGTGTCTGTCAACATGTCATGTAGAGCAACGAGTGTGGCGGCATGTACTCGGAATGGAGTTCGCTGCCGCTGGAAGGCGGCGGGCGCGGCGTGCTGGGCGCCGTGGGCGGGCGGGACGTCGTGCTGGCCGTGGTCAAGCAGCTGGCCTCGCCCGAGCCGAGCCCGCTGACTACTGACGCCGAGGTGAGGCCAGCGTGAAGTATGTACTCGGATGGAGCTCGCTGCCGCTGGAGGGCGGCGGGCGCGGCGTGCTGGGCGCCGTGGGCGGGCGGGACGTCGTGCTGGCCGTCGTCAAGCAGCTGGCCTCGCCCGAGCCGAGCCCGCTGACTACTGACGCCGAGGTGAGGCCAGCGTGGAGTATGTACTCGAATGGATCTCGCTGCCGCTGCAGGGCGGCGGGCGCGGCGTGCTGGGCGCCGTGGGCGGGCGGGACGTCGTGCTGGCCGTGGTCAAACAGCTGGCCTCGCCCGAGCCGAGCCCGCTGACTACTGACGCCGAGGTGAGGACAGCGTGAAGTATAGGATATCAAGGATCAGTATTTTAATATTTAACAGTCACTGTTAGTATATTCGTGCCAGTTTTAATTCTAAAATAGCTGCCATATTATTGACTAAGAGGGTACAGATCACGAAGCACAACCTGGTCAAGTTAACTACGCAACTGGCCGCCGTGACGTCACATCGACGCTCTGGTATGGACCGAACGCAGGGACGTGTGCAATACCGCGAAGTAAAATGAGACAGCGCCATCTCTTGGTCGAAGCCAGAACTAAACCCTATTACTAGCCTAACGCAACGAACGTACGCTTTAGGTGGAATGGGTGCTAGAAGTGATCCGCTACGGGCTCTCACCTTACTACCACTGAGCTCGCACGAAGCGGTGCGCTGCCCGCATCCAGGTTCTTCCTGCGACCTTTACCAGACCGTCGGTCATATTGTATTAGTAAAGTAACGTAACATTCGTGCGCTTCAGGTGGAATGGGTGCTAGAGGTGATCCGCTACGGGCTCTCATTACCACTGAGCTCGCACGAGGCGGTGCGCGAACTAAATTCTATTAGTTCGTTCGTGACGTTCAGCCAAATGACGTCCACTGCTGGACATTAGGCTTTCCCCAAGGTTTTCCACAATGAACGGTCCTGCGCTGTGCGCATCCAGGTTCTTCCCGCGACCTTTACCAGACCGTCGGTCAAATTCTATTAGTTTAGTAACGTAACACTCGTGCGCTTTAGGTGGAATGGGTGCTAGAGATCATCCGCTATGGTCTCTCACTGCCTCTGAGCTCGCACGAGGCGGTGCGCGAGATAAATCCTATTATTAAAGTAACGTAACGTACGTGCGCTTCAGGTGGAATGGGTGCTAGAGGTCATTCGCTATGGTCTTTCGCTCCCTCTAAGCTCGCACGAGGCGGTGCGGGACTGCGTTCGCGTGTGCTGCGCGTGGCTGGCGCCGCTGCTGCCGCCCGCCGCGCCCGCGCAGCCGCCGCCGCCGGCGCTGCCGCAGCCGGTGCGCGACCACCCGCACCGGTACGCTAGGAAGATACTGGCGCATCTGCAGAACCTGTTCGTGCCGAGGCCTGATGAGAGTGAGTGCATTTTGTCTACTTCTAATTGGTTTCAAAGCAGTTTTAATCAACTTAATTACAAAGCGTCGTTTAAGTTCTATAACCACGTAAGTCATTTTTCGCAACTTTTCAGGAGATTCGACGAAACGACGCGTCTTTCGATTCTCTAGCGAATGGCATCAAAATGGCGAAACCGCCAAAAAATGACTTGCGTGGTGATAGAACTTAAACGACGAAAGCATCTTTTCTCACAACATGTTCCCGAGTCCCAACTGCCGTCTATTGTTGATATAATACATATAATGTTTCAATTGCAAAAATCTATTGGCACTAAATGATTCTATACACTTTGTACATTGCAATACATAAGATAAAACTCAATAAGCCTCATACTTTGGGCGTAATACATATTTTGTTTTAAATAGTTTTTAAGCACTTCTCTGTAAATAATTGTGATATATTTATTATTATGATTCCAACAGCACCTAAATGCGTAAATAGCTAGCTGTGGTATGAGCATAATTATCATCCACAATTTTATTTCAAAGAGCGCTAGTAAAGTCTGCACATGCATTTTTCATAAACGATATTCTTTGTCTTTCTTTCAAGCACTCTCATTTGTTTACCAACTGGAGTTAGGTGAGTTTAGATTATGTTATATGTTATGATTATGTAAAGTGAACTCTGTCATAATAACATTTGAGTTTACATTGAAGCGGAATAAAATGAAATCTTCGTGTTTTTAAGCTACCACTTCAATTAAAATTACGAGACACGTAAGGTGACAAAAAGTTAAGGCATGTGGAGCACCGCTCCGCCTAATTCCACGATGCTTTCGCAAAAATCAAAGCAAATCGGTGCGTTGCTCCCAGGCGGCGACCTGATCAGCAAGCAAGCTGTCCTCTGCCACCGCGTGCTGCGACTAGCTCGCTCTCTCACCGGCTCGGCCATGCTGGGCGCGCGCGAGTGGCGCTCGCTGCTGCTGCTGTCGCGCTTCTGACGCCTCAATGTGAAGTCGGTCTTATAGTCACTGCGTTACTCCAGGCGGCGACCTGATCAGCAAGCAAGCTGTCCTCTGCCACCGGGTGCTCCGCCTAGCTCGCTCACTCGCCGGCTCGGCCATGCTGGGCGCGCGCGAGTGGCGCTCGCTGCTACTACTGCTGCTGGCGCTTCTGACACCTTAATGTGAAGTCGGTCTTAAAGTCACTGCGTTGCTCCCAGGCGAAGACCTGATCAGCAAGCAAGCTGTCCTCTGCCACCGGGTGCTACGACTCGCTCGCTCTCTCGCCGGCTCGGCCATGCTAGGCGTGCGAATTCCACTGAGGACCTTTAAAAAATCGTCGCTGGATATTCGCTTGTAGTGTTTTAAGCAAGCACTTCAATACAATGCAGCACCTTATGAAGTTATGACTAATAGTTCAGGACGTCTAATCCGCGTCAATAGTTCACAACTTTATAGTCCGTGGGTGGTAGGTGGCGACCTGATCAGCAAGCAAGCTGTCCTCTGCCACCGGGTGCTACGACTCGCTCGCTCTCTCGCCGGCTCGGCTATGCTGGGCGTGCGAATTCCACTGAAGACCTTTAAAAAAATCGGCGCTGGAAATATCCAGCTACAAGCGAATACGCTTGTAGTGTTTTAAACAAGCACTTCAATACAATGCAGCACTTTATGACCTAGTTCAGGATGTGTAATGCTACGTCAAACGAGAAACTCGCTCCGCTTCGTCTAATTCCGTATCATTAGAATGCAACCCCATACGTGCTCATAGTCACTGCGTTGCTCCCAGGCGGAGACCTGATCAGCAAGCAAGCTGTCCTCTGCCACCGGGTGCTCCGCCTAGCTCGCTCTCTCGCCGGCTCGGCCATGCTGGGCGCGCGCGAGTGGCGCTCGCTGCTGCTTCTGCTGTCGCGCTTCTGACGCCTTAATGTGAAGTCGGTCTTAAAGTCACTGCGTTGCTCCCAGGCGGCGACCTGATCAGCAAGCAAGCTGTCCTCTGCCACCGGGTGCTCCGCCTAGCTCGCTCTCTCGCCGGCTCGGCCATGCTGGGCGCGCGCGAGTGGCGCTCGCTGCTGCTTCTGCTGCTGGCGTGCGCATCCGCGCTGTTGTCGCCGCCCGCGCCGCACCACTCGGCCGCTGAGCAGCTGTGCGAGCGCGTGCTGTGCGTGCTGTTCGAAGTGTGGATACTGGCGTGCCACAGGTAAACTCACATTCAGTACTTATTCCTTTTCCAGGGCGCTTATACACGTCCCAAATATAACTTGCCCTACCACCACTTTTTTATGCATCACAAGGCAGGTATTTGACCGCAACTTCGGGACAACATAATATTGGCTGGTGCTGAGAAAAAATGGCGGAAGAAACAGCCTCAAAAGCTTATGGGACCCTCACCGCAAACGTCAAACGCTGAGCCCTCCGATACATCTGTTACACAGGATTTCAGAGACATGCTAGAAGTTTCTCAAGCATTTCTTTGGCGAGACATTTTCACGTGGCGAGGGGTATGCTTTAATCTGCGTATTCTAACGTGACGAAGAGGATTATAGTCACGCCCCGACTTACTTCTTAGACTTTCGCACGCCGCGTGGCAGTGACCTTAAGTTAATGCCGGCTGTACACCTCTCGTCCAAGAGACAGGGCTGAATGTGTCAATGTGAAAGCGGCCTAAAGTTCGGCCGCGCTCGCACACACCTCGGCCGCGGTGCCGCGTCGACACAGTAAGTGTGCGAGCGCGACACGCGAGCGATAAGGGTGGGTAGCTTGGGGTCATTGTTCGTTTGTTTCAGCCAAATGACGTCCACTGCTGGACAAAGGCCTCCCCCAAGGTTTTTCACAATGAACGGTCCTGCGCTGCCCGCATCCAGGCTCTTCCCGCGACCTTTACCACGTCGTCGGTCCGCCTAGTAGGAGGCCTGCCCACGCTACGTCTTCCAGCCCATGGTCGCCACTCGAGAAATTTCCTGCCCCAACGGCCATCGTCTCTACGAGCTATGTGCCCGTCATGTGGGTCATTGATCGAAATTCTATCTGCTCGTCGACCGGACTTACAGTGTGATGTCATTCACAGATGCTTCCCGTCGCCGCCGCTGTGGCGCACGCTGCGAGCGCAGTGCGTGCGCTGGCGGCACCGCGCGGCGCTGACGGAGCAGTGGGCGCGCGCGTCGCTGTGCCTCACGGCGCGCCTGCTGCGCCACATGTACGGCCCGCTGTTCCCCGCCATGCCCGTCAGTGAGTACTGTGCGCTCGCTACGGCGCAGTGCGTGCGCTGACGGAGCAGTGGGCGCGCGCGTCGCTGTGCCTCACGGCGCGCCTGCTGCGCCACATGTACGGCCCGCTGTTCCCCGCCATGCCCGTCAGTGAGTACTGTGCGCTCGCTGCGGCGCAGTGCGTGCGCTGGCGGCACCGCGCGACGCTGACGGAGCAGTCAACCCCAGTTCTAGTTTAGTAGTTGATTTTTTTTACCCACAACGAGGAAGCTCTTGACCTGTATCTCACCTGATGGTAAGTGACGATCAGGCCGAAGGTGGAAGCGAGCTTCACCCGGAATTCTCATCCACGGAGGAACTGGCTATCTTATCTCTAACTGCCGAAACACAATAATGCTGTTAACATTGTTGTTATGGCGACAGACTTAGGTAAGATGGTGGTAGCTAGCCAGGCGGACTTAGAACAAGCCCTACAGAAAAATCTGCCCCCACTGGGAATCGAACCCGGGACCTCTGCGTCTGAAGCAGGTGGTCTTACCACTAGACCACTGAGGTGGTTAAAACTAAAGCCTGGTCCGTGAGCACGTAGATCAATTAGTAGATTCAATGACCCGAAGCTACTCATCCTTATCGCTCGCGCGTAATTATGTTGCTGTCGCGCTCGCATACTCACTGCGGGCGCCCGTCGCACAGTCGCGACAGCAATATAATTACGCGCGAGTGATAAGGATGGGTAGCTTGGGGTCATTGGACAAAATTCTACGTGCTCACAGACCACGCTATAATCACCCGATTAAAAATCTGTTGTCTGAAGGGAGTCTAAAGTCCACTGACCTCCGCCGGTGGGCATGAGCACGAAGACGTCGTGGCCGAGCAGCGCCGCGTTGATGACCTGCAGCTGGTTGGGCCGGAAGGACTTGAGTCCGAACTTCTCGCGGAAGGTCTCCATCATCAGCTCTGAATGCGGGAACGAGAAGCCGTCGGACTCGCCTGCGGGACGAGGGAAGATTAGGCTATGCTAGCTATACAGGGTGTTAGGTAAATAGGCTTTATAAAGAAAGTTCGGATTAATTTGACTTTCTCCCTCCCTCCAGGCGAGGAGGACGCGACCCTCATCCCGGCAGACATGAGCGCGGAAGCGGTGATGCAGAGCTGGTACCGCATGCTGCACACCATCGGCAATCCTGTCGACCTGTGCCGACCGCATCTCATCAGCCAGACGCCCGACTTCCTGCAGGTAGGATATCAATGAGGGCTATCGTTTTTATACTTAACAGTTGGCACCCCTGGCGATTGACAGGACCTTACTCTACAGAGGCGCCATCTTGATGAGGGCAAATGCGATAGTCCTCCTACCACTTTAGCGCTCACCAATTGGTGCCACTGTCTTCGCTACTAGCAAGTGACAGGACCTTACTCTACAGTGGCGCTAACTGGTGAGCGCTAAAACGATAGCCCTCATTGCTCCATAAACTAAATTCAAAATTTATTTGTTGTGAAACATGTGAAGCAATTTATGTACTTGTTTTCAGTAGTTTAGGCAGTGCCACTTTTATTTACCTGTGTTGTGTATAATTTATTCCTGTCACACGTTCCCACCCCTACAATTTCTGTGTAAACAGACCCAATTAGCTTTCTTGGAGCTGAATAAAAATGAAAAAAACCTGCAAATAATGTAGTATAGAGCACACTCTATACTACATTATTTTTTGTATATACGAAAGCCGAAACATGTGTCACGTATTTCAATCTTTAGAATCAGTATAAAAAAAAGTGATATCTTGAAAGCTCACGAAGTTCCAAGCTTTTTTTGTTGTCCCATTATCCGCACGCGAGTGTATACATCGTACAGCGCGCGGCACTTTCGTTGTTTACAACGCAATGTTTGTTAAGTTTGTCTATGGGCGACGGTAATCACTTACCATCAGGTGATCCGTCTGATCGTTTGCCTCCTGCCACATTAAAAAAAATGATATAAAAAATATTGCGATGGATTCTATTACTGATTCTGAACAAATAGTTTTAAGGTTTCGTATAATACTAAAAATAACCTTGTATATGCACTGTTTTTTTAATGTAGCCTATAACCTTAAAGCCAATAAAGTTTTTTCACAGGTTCGATTATCGTCCTATTCAAATGGTATACGTTACGGATAGTGTTACTTTCACATTGGTAATTAATATTAATAGAAAGTACCTAAGTATAGAAAATCTAATTAACTTCATTATCCCCCGGCAGTACTCGATCACGGCGGAAGAGGGCGCGCGAGACCCGAGCCAGCACCCGTGCCTGGCGGCGCTGCCGTCTATCTTCCACAAGGCCATGAAGGGCGTGGCCGCGCACGTCGACGCCTTCCTCGGTGAGTGCTACAGACCTAGTAGCAGTACTAGCTACGGGTCACTTGATGTTAGCGACCTAGTATCAGTACTAGTTCCGGGTCACTTGATGTTAGAGACCTAGTATCAATACTAGCTCCGGGTCACTTGATACTAGCGACCTAGTATCAGTACTAGCTCCGGGTCACTTGATACTAGCGTCCTAGTATCAATACTAGCTCCGGGTCACTTGATACTAGCGGCCTAGTATCAATACTAGCTCCGGGTCACTTGATACTAGCGACCTAGTATCAATACTAGCTCCGGGTCACTTGATGTTAGAGACCTAGTATCTATACTAGCTCTGGGTCACTTGATACTAGCGACCTAGAATCAATACTAGCTCCGGGTCACTGATTGAAATTTGGAAGAGTGCCTAGTATCGGTACCACCTCCGGGTCACTCAATATTTACTAATGTTTGAAGTGTGCGGTTGTGACTTCAAGAATATGTAACTAAATTATTAATAATTTTGGGTCTTTGATAGTTTTATAGATCGTGACATCTCTTGTGTGTCATAAGCACTTCCAGAGATTTAATAATGTTGTTTGCTGTATCAAATTATAGAGGAGTAGTGGTAATTGAGGTTGATTTGAATACTAGTATTTTAGCTACTTCATTTTCTATGGGTACAAGGTGATTCTGGTTAAATTGCACTTAGTTTTTAAGTTAGCACAGGTTGTATTGTGAATATAATTGATCTTTCAGTGCACTGTAAGATTTTAAGTACCTGAAACTGAACGCAAGTAGTTTAGAAAGTTCTTTTCTAAAGTGATGTATTAAACAATTTTTGGGAGTAATAATGATGAGGAGCTTTAAATATTTTCTGCATTGTGATATTAGCTTTTCAACACTTGGAAACGATGTATATTGTTGGATATATCTTGTGCTGCCAATGTGCTACCTTTATTGTAGATTTACACGTGATTATTGTTGATCTAATCTGTGCTTTACCCCTACCTAATCCCCTACATAATTTTGAGGCAATGAAAAGATACATCAATTTCTTAAATCCTTTAACTATATTTAAATTCCGGTTAATCTCGCGAGAAAGGCGAGATCTGAAACATCTTGTTTCTAGTAACTTATAGAGGGTCGTCCTCACGCAAAGGAGAGAAAAGACCTTGTAATGTGGGGACCAAGGAGACGGAATAAAATATGTTAATCAGTCGACTGTTGGTTCATTACTGGTCTAAATATGGCTTACAGCGCCCGGTCTGTGAGCACGTAGAATTTTGTCCAATGACCCTAAGCTACCCATCCTTATCGCTCGCGCGTAATTATGTTGCTGTCGCGCTCGCACACTCACTGCGGGCGCCCGTCGCACAGTCGCGAAAGCAATATAATTACGCGCGAGCGATAACGATGGGTAGCTTGGGGTCATTGGACAAAATTCTACGTGCTCGCAGACCAGACTATAGTTTATAATTCCTTGCACTAACTACAAAGGTGAGGTGCGTAATACGCCCACTAGAACCTGATTATAATGAAACATTGGCACCACAAGAGTTGTCCTAACGCGCGCACTGCTAGGGCGGGGCGACTGCCGGTGGTGGGCGGTGCCGGAAGCGGGCGGGGCGGCCGACGACGAAGACACGCCCCCCGCGCACCGCCGCCTCGCCAAGTCCTTCAGCGTGTCCTCCCGGCCGAGGGAGCCTAAGCCCGAGCGCGGTACGTGGACGCTTTGCGCTTGGATACTTCGAGTGTAGATTCTTTAGGTCCTCTGTAGACATCCGTTTTTCACCGGACGACGGACAATTTTTCGTCAGACCTATGTCCGATGCATGTGTACACGTTCATTATAAACCATACACCACCGCTAAATCAAGCCAAAAAATCGGGCCGTAGTCCGATCAAAAAAACTGATGTTTACGTATCTTCACCTTAAAGGCCGGCAACGCACTTATAACGCCCCTGGGTCTGCGGGTGGTGTCTATGGGCGACGGTAATCACTTACCATCAGGTGATCCGTCTGCTCGTTTGCCTCCTGTCACATAAAAAAAAGTCGCCAAAAGATATCCGTTTATTGACGGTTCGTCACCCGGTTAAAAAACGGATGTCTACAGACGTCCTTAGCGCCTCCGTTAAAACTTATGCAGGCACATGCATGTCTGTATCGCAAGATAGCATAAGCAGCCGCAGTGTGGCTCCTATGTTCTTCTGATTAATTTCGTTGCGGGTCCAATTAACTTCAATGGCAGTTTCTTCCCCTGGGACAAACTTGACCTTCACTGGTTGAGTTTTTATTGCCGGTCAAGCTCTAGATCTTGGCTACACAGGAGTTGCAGCGGTGGGAACGAGAGGTGGTCCATTACAAAACTTTCAAAATATGGTTATCGTCATTAATATTTAGCATTGACTTACACATTATGGTATCAATTTGATTCGCTTTTATACACGTAATTTTATCGCCGATTATGAAAATACGGTGCTCGAAGTATTCAAGTGGAAAGAGAAACTAGATAAGAGGTAAATTGTGTGTAAATAACCACTTCACGCTGCATATCGGTATGTATAAATGCACACACAAAGCTTGGGTAAAATTGGGTCCTGCACGTATAAATGTAGTATCTTAAAAGATGTATGTCAAGCCAAATATGAATCTGTACTTGTAATCGTTTATGTTAAAAGCGGTCACGTATGCTTGATTTGCTTCAATGTTTAGACCGTATCCAGATGACTAGTTTTCCGTGTTTCTACACTTGCGAGCAAAAGTATGGAATCACTTACATGAAGTTGTTTCCACGCGATCTTGTGTACTAACCAATTTGTTAGTAACAAAAAAAGTAGCACCATTTTAAAGATTAAACTTTTAACTTTAAATTGATACCAATTTAAATCACACCAGTATTTAAAAAGATATCCCGGCTGATGTGAAGAAGTAAGGAAAAAGACATGTATCAACTGTTTGATACGTCGCGAGTTGCGGCCTATTTACCCCCCATAAAAGCACGTGTTTTCGGATTTTTGCTTTCACACGTTGATCCATACACATCTCCGCTTCTTTTGACACTTTACCTGGGATTCTACACCTTCAGAAGCAGCACAAATCGTTGCACTATTGCAAGAAGGGCTCAGCCAGCGGGCTGTCGCACGTCAGCTCCACATAAGCCAGTCCTGGGTTTCGAAAGTTTTAAGACGCTTTCGGGAGACTGGTGGCTTTATCCCGAGACCAAGTTCTGAACATTGCCGGTGCACATCGCAGAGGGAAAACCGTTTTTTCATGTCAACTTCTCTACGAAATCGTCATTTGACTGGTATCGACGTCCAGCAAGAGCTCAGAAATGTTCGTAGGATAGCTGTTAGCAAGTGGACAGTTCGTCTAAGATATAAACAATAGAATTTGACTCCAAAAAGGCCTGCCACAGGCTTGAAACTGACGGCAGGTCACCGATAAGCACGCTTTCAATTTGCTCCTACACATCTCGATGGGAAGTCGAGCAAGCCACCCCCATAAGCCAATGTTTTAGCGAACCAGCACTGCACAAATCGCTCCCCAGGCCGTCTATAGACCCGACCTCTTCGACTGCTGCACTGCAAAAACAGTCTGCATTCATCGGAAAACAAAACTCGCCTCCATTACTCGCCTTCCGAGTGCGAGCTAATTGAAAGCGTGCTTGTCGGTGACCTGCCGTCAGTTTTCAGCCTGTGGCAGGCCTTTTTGGAGTCAAATTTTATTGCTCATATCTTAGACGAACTGTCCACTCGCTAACAGCTATCCTACAAACATTTCTGAGCTCTTGCTGGACGTCGATGCCAGTCAAATGACGATTTCATAGAGAGGTTGACATGAAAAAACGGTCATCCCTCTGCGATGTGCACCGGCGCTGTTCAGAACTTGGTCTCGGGATAAAGCCACCAGTCTCCCAAAAGCGTCTTAAAACTTTCGAAACCCAGGACTGGCTTATGTGGAGCTGACGTGCGACAGCCCGCTGGCTGAGCCCTTCTTGCAACAGTGCAACGATTTATGCTGCTTCTGTAGGTATAGAATCCCAGGTAAAGTGTCAAAAGAAGCCGAGATGTGTATGGATCAACGTGTGAACGCAAAAATCCGAAAACACGTGCTTTTATAAGGGGTAAATAGGCCGCAACTCGCGACGTATCAAACAGTTGGTACATGTCTTTTTTCTTACTTATTCACATCAGCCGGGATATCTTTTTAAATACCGGTGTGATTTAAATAAATTTGGTATCAATTTAAAGATAAAAGTTTAATCTTTAAAATGGTGCTACTTTTTTTGTTACTAACAAATTGGTTAGTACACAAGATCGCGTGGAAACAACTTCATGTAAGTGATTCCATACTTTTGCTCGCGAGTGTACATAAGGTAGGCTGAGGTCTATCGTTACTCATCTGTTTTTGTTTTGTACGTCACGTCTCGCATCTAGTCGCCTGTAGATGATTGGTTTAAGTTATGATACAAAGTTAAAGTCGCATTTGTCACAAGTTAGATGCATTATTTTAACCGTATAAATGTCATTTGAATACGGACTTTACATTGAAGTAAATGGTGGGGGATGCGCATGAGTGGTTTCAGTTTCTCGTGTTGTTTTATTTGGTACTTTACCTTTAGTTTTGGGTGTTGTTGGGTGTCACTGCTCAAAACTTTTGTAATATTTTTCTGTTGCTTACTTTATTCGTCTTATGTTTGTGACTAACGTGAGTCTTGATCTTCAAGTACGTGAGTACATGAGTGTTATACAACGCAGGCACCCCGCGTACGTCTCTGATTGGACTGACAAGCAGCCGGCCGGCCAGCGTTGCGCCTACAACGCCGCCCAACTCTATCACGTCGCAAGGTAAGGAAATAAAAATTATTTGATTTACAAAATACTTGCAAGAGTCAAGCTAGACATTCTGTACTTATAGCATAGTGCCACACTCTACACACAAAAAACGTGGGTAACTGCAGTAGCTATTGTGTCGAAAAAATTAGATAGAGGCAATATGTCAGATATCTCTATCTGATATCTGTAAAAGCTTAGAAAAAGTGGTCGGTTGTGTAACAGATGAGTTCCTATAAATATCAAGAACATTATTGGAAAGTGAAACAATCTCTAATATCAGAAAAATGAAGCAGAAAATCTACCCTTGAAATATAGTGCTATTTCTAGTCACAAAAAGGTTTAGAATATTTATTTTACTTTTCTTCTGTATTCATCATGTTAAACGTTTATTTCCAGTGTGCGACGCAGAGAAACCGCCACTAACACCGCTGCGGCCAAAAGTGAACTCGATTTTCCACCTGTTTGGGGAGTGGCTGTTTGAGGCGGCGCTTATCGGGACCACGCCTCCTTACACCAACAACCAACGTGAGTCATCATCATTCAGTCATTTACTTTTTACTTTAGGGGGCTCTCCAATTTACCAGAGAATTTTATCTAGTTAGTTTAGTCTTGGAGGTAGTTTTATTAAAAACATGTAAGGTACAGTACAGACGACAGCACATTAGATTGTACATTTTATTGCAAAATAGCACTTATTACAATAGCATAAAGTTGGCGATATGTTTTCAGAACGCGCCGACGGCACAACGCCACCGCCGTCGATGTCTGACGCTACGTACAAACTCAATATGATGAGTTATCAGCCAGGTTAGTCAATAGACATGATTCATTTCTAGAGATTGTCGTCGTCATTTCAGCCAAATGACGTCCACTGCTGGACAAAGGTCTCCCCCAAGGTTTTCCACAATGAACGGCCCTGCGCTGCCCGCATCCAGGCTCTTCCCGCGACCTTCACCAGATCGTCGGTCCACCTAGTAGGAGGCCTTCCCACGCTACGTCTTCCAGCCCGTGGTCGCCACTCGAGAAATTTTCTGCCCCAACGGCCATCGTCTCTACGAGCTATGTGTCCCGCCCACTGCCACTTAATTTTAGCATTTCTGCAAGCTATGTCGGTCACTTTGAGAATGTAAGATTTTTAAATAAGTGTGATAGAAAGTACAATTTTAATGATAATCGTCCTTATATGTTTGCAAAATGTCAAAGCCTATTGGAGCTACTAGCAATCTGTATTAAACATTATACAAACATTTTTAACCAGTTATCTGTACACACAGGTCGTGCCGAAGCCCTGGGCACGCTTTGTCGTGTGCTGTGCTCGAAACAGTGCCGTGAAGAAGTATTGGCGCCGTATCTGGCGCGCTGCTACGCCGCCATCCATCGGGGTCTGCGGGACCCCGCCACCGCCGCTGCCGTGGTTTTGAACGCGCCTGACATATTCAGGTAAAAATAGTACCAAATGTTGTCTTTAGTTCTTTGTTTAGGGACTAGATGGCGTAGTATAAAAATGTCTAAGGATTTAATAATTACAGCTGGTTTATTATTACTCACCAAATGCCGCGAAATGTTGTTGCTGTACTTGACACGTTGCTAAATGGCTATCCTATCTATGTGACCCCACCATCGCAGCTTACAAGCTTACTGCAAGCTGGCTGCTATTGAATAAACTCGAAATGTTTATTTATTTATTTATACAAACCAACAGCGACATACATTGAAAATGTTAGTTATAAGATTTAGACTGATAGTATAGTTGTTGAAAACCCGTTTTTCCAAGTGTCAGTGCTGTAGTTGGAAAATTTCAAATGCAGTGTTTAAAAGCGTATGAGAAATAAGATTCATGTAAATAAGTGTTGCAAGACAAGAGTCTCTGACTGTCATTTATTTTTCCTAATCCTAATGTAATAAGGCTTATCGCTGCTTCTTCTCAGCACTGGCCCATTTATTGTCCCGTAGCAGTGGTAGGGTTAGACATACTTGTCGACAATCTCGAGAATTGAGCTCCCAACTGAAACTGGGTAGGGCGTAACATGGACATTCGACATAAGCTTCGTTTTGTCCATGTTCATCCTCAGGCCTACCTGTTGGGAAACTCGATTAAGGTCTTCGAGCATTGTGCCAAGATCTTCCAACGATTCAGCTAGGTAGGTCCAATTTCGAGAAGGAGGTCAATCGTCGAATCCAACTCGGCTGGGCAGCGTTCGGGAAACTACGCAACATCTTTTCGTCCAAATTACCTCAATGCCTGAAGACTAGAGTGTATAACCAATGTGTGTTACCAGTGATAACTTATGGCTCGGAAACGTGGCCTCTCACTATAGGCCTTATACAGAAGCTCAAAGTTGCAAGCGTGCTATGGAGAGGGCTATGCTTGGTGTTTCTTTGCGAGATCGAATCAGAAATGAGGAGATCCGTAAACGAACCAAAGTCGCTGACATAGCCCGACGTATTAGCAAGCTGAAGTGGCCATGGGCAGGGCACATAGTACGCAGAACTGACGGCCGATGAGGCAGAAATGTTCTGGAATGGAGGCCGCGTACCGGAAAACGCAGCGTGGGACGTCCACCTACAAGGTGGACCGACGACATCGTAAAGGTAGCAGGGAAGCGCTGGACACAGGCCGCTACCAATCGATCAACATGGAAAGCATTGGGGGAGGCCTATGTTCAGCAGTGGACGTCCTGTGGCTGAAATGATGATGATGATGAGTGGTAGGGTTAATACAGGGACGTGTAAAAGTGATTATTAAAATCTTTTTTTTTTTCTCTTCTCAGATTGGACCTAGACGGCGTGTTAGTTCTTGTGCCAGACTTCATCTCGGCACTCGAAAAGATCCTCTGCGAGCGGGAGCCTAAACTAGAGTGCGGGACCATAGACAAGCGCGAGCTGCGCAAGGCCGCTATAAGCGCGCTGTTGTCTCTGGTCGCTTTCCCGCATCATTATAAAGGACTGCCGGTGCCTGAGTTCCCGGGATGTAATGAGTAGTAAGTACTTTAATGTGATTTTATTGGATTTCCCAAAAACTGCTAAATTCTTCTAAAAATAACACAAAAATAAACAACATTGTCGACATTCCACCAGCTCGCACTAAGCGTTTCGCTAACTCCTTTATAATGCGAATAGTTAGACTGAATAAAATAGAAAAGGGACTGGAATTCGCTGCCTGTTACTGTTTTTTCCGAATACAATAATTCATAGTGAGAGTGAATAGGCACTTATAGGGCAGCTAATTAATTTCGAACTCCTCCTATGTTCTTCTAATTAATTTCGTTGCGGGTCCAATGACAGTTTAACTTTCCCCCGGGACAAACTTGACCTTCATTGGTTGGGTTTTTGTGGCGGTCAAGCTGTAGATCCTGGCTACACAGGAGTTGCAGTGGTGGGAACGAGAGGTGGGAATAGTCCCGATAGGGTAGCTATGTACCATCCTAGACTGCATCTCACTTAACATCAGGCGCGATTGCGGTCATTAACCTGCCTTGTTCTGCATGAAAAAAAATGAAGATCATACAGAAAGTTTATTTATTTATTTATTTATACTTCAATGCCAAAATTTTAACATTAGGCGAACTTAATGCCATAAGGCATTCTCATCCAGTTTCACGTTATCTAAAACTGTGTAGCTGCGTTATAGCTACAATAGCGTAATTCTAAGCTTCATCGACGTATTTTCAGCGCGGGCATGACGCTAGGCGACCTCGTGCGAGGCAAACTGTCTCTGATCTGCGTCTCTGCTGTGCAAGTGGAGTGGTCCGACGCACTCGCCGTGCCGTTGCTAAGTGCGCTATACCTGTGCGTTCGACACAACGCACAGTCTGGCGGGAGAGCCGCGTCCGCTCCGCCTGGATCGACTATGTCGCAAACTACTGATTATAAAGGTTAGTGGTGCGACTAATTATAATAGAAGGTGTTTGATTAAAATAATAGTAATTATTGTGATTTCAGACTGAAAATCTATACCTTATAGTCGTCAAAAGATTTTGACGTTTGTTCAAGTAACTGCAATCACTTTAAATACACAATGTTTTGAAATGAATCAAATTTTCTCACTTGACTACTGTGTTAAAAAATCGGAAAGATTTTATTCCAATCACTTTTAATTTCGTCTTTATTTCAAACCACCAAAACACAGAAAATGTAACAAATATCACATTTGTCACTAGTTCGCTTTAGTCACCGACCAATATTGATACGTTAATCACACTTACATTTTTCCGTTACACGCTACGTTTATTTTGCTCCAAGATCCAACATTAATCCCCTTAATCAAATTATAGGCTGGTTACTTTTCCATAAGACGAATCAATTCGGACTGACATCCCCCGAAATGAGTCCTGTTGTAAAGCCTGGTCCGTGAGCACGTAGAATTTTGACCAATGACCCCAAGCTACCCATCCTTATCGCTCGCGCGTAATTATATTGCTGTCGCGACTGTGCGACGGGCGCCCGCAGTAAGTGTGCGAGCGCGACAGCAACATAATTACGCGCGAGCGATAAGGATGGGTAGCTTGGGGTCATTGGACAAAATTCTACGTGCTCACGGACCAGGCTTTAGAGAGAGTAAGCTGATACATCGGTTAACCTTGGACTCTCATATATTGCATCCTATTTGGAACCGTGTCACCTTGTCTTAAGATCCAAAATGAAAGGGTTATGGGGGGTGTTTTAGCGCGATCGGATAGCGGCAGCGCGTCGGGCAGCGCTGAAGGACATTCGTCGCTCGACGACTTTGCGGCCGACGTTAGGGAGTTAGACCCATCCTCGCCTGTTTTCGGTAACATTCACTTTTTTGTTTGCTATTACTAATGGAATGACGTTTGAAGATGACTTGAGTCCATTTATTTTAGCCAATAAACAAATACTTCTCTATATTTCGTCTCCTTATAGAAAACAGTGTAAGATAATAAATTTTCTACTGTAAAATTATTTTCATCCGGCTTGAAGGACCATGATTTCGACAAACGTCACCCCATGAATACATCGCTGAAGTACTTTCGGTGTATTCGCTTTGTGTTCTAAGTTGCTTATACTGCTTGCTGTTTTTATTCAGTATTCATTGTCGTTTTAGAAATGAGCTAGAATCAATCATATACAATGTTTTTATACCTCTATGCAGTAAGTTTTATAGTAGATTAACTAAATGTTAAATTATAAGAGTTTTTTTAAAGTGTTTAGTTTCCTGCACATTATTACACGTCTTGTATTCGCAGAATATATGTCTGTATATTATGTTACTTCAAAATTTCTACTGTTTTCGATGTAATTCTTAATGTTAAGTACGTTTCTTGAATTCTAGTTTTTGATATAAATCTAATCGTTAGAAGCTAGTTTTGTTTATATCTTTAAAACTTGTTGCACATATTATTGTCTTGGGCTTTGATTAAAACTGAGTCACAAAATGTTAGTAGTTGTTAGAATGGTGTTCGGGCTATTGATATCGCAAGAATGTATTATGAATTTTTAATGTCTATGGTCACTCGAACCAAATATTCGTGTGACCAATTTCTTGAAGCAAATTGCTATGACAAAAATCAATATAGGTGCAGCGTTAGTGGTTCGCGCGACGTACCTCGTGTGCCACCGGCTCATTTCTTCGTGGAAGGGAGACTTGCAGGTCTCGTTGGCTGCCTTGGAACTGCTGTCAGGTCTAGCCAAGCTACACTCCGCTAAACCGGGTAAGTTTATTGTTGCTGTAGTACGGATGATTTGAGTTATTTTCAGAATGTATTAAAATATGTAAATTCTATTTGTTTTCATGCATTCTAGAATATATGATCGGTGAGTAATAAGATTGTTAAACTTCGTCATAGTTTCATCAAGTTTTATGATATTTTCTCAAACATTTTGGTCAGCGGAAAGTCTTAGGGAAGATCAAACCGACGACCACTGAATATCCGAATATGTCCTATTTGTAATGTAGTCTTGTATGTAACCTAAGAGTCTTTTCCGAGATCCGATTCCGAAGTTGGGCGATTTCTTTTTGCAGTTAATTTATGAACAATGCGCCATTTGCTCGTTGCGTGAAAGCTGTGTGCTTACTGCGTGTAAGCCGAGATATTATCTCGCCGTAATGGCGTGAAAAAACGCTTAGGCTAAGTTGCACCATCTAACTTTAAGGCCCAGAACAGACGGTGAAACGCAACTGCAACGAAACTGCAACTTTCTGATGATTCTTATGAATGAAACTGAAACTGAAAATTTCAAACTCGTCGCGTCATGTGGGGTCTCTCAACGGACGCTATGGCAGTTTCGATGCAGTTGCGTTTCACCGTCTGTTCTGGGCCTTACGGTCAAAGTTAGGTGGTGCAACTCAACCTTGGAGTACACGTTCGGCTACGAGCCTGCCGTGCATAACGCGCCTTTACCGTGTACAGAGGCGGTGGAGCGCAAGCGCGCCGTGCGCTGGATATGCGACTACATCGTGGTGCAGTGCTCGCGGCCGCCGCAGGCGCACTCGCGCGACCTGCACTCGTGCGTCGTGTGCGCCTACGCCTGCCTCGCCGCCTGGCTGTGCCCGGCGCTGCTGGACGCGGCCGACACGCGCGCCACGCTGCTGCAGGTCGTCGAGCTGGGGCTGTCCGGCGCGCGCAGCCAGGGTGAGTGCCCCCTGTCTGGCTGAGCGAGCCAGGGTGAGGATATAGTGGGAGTAGTGGCACTCAGGACACGAGACAGTCACGTGACCGATCCAGGATAAGGTACAAGTTCGTAGCCGACTTCATGCAGCAGCTGCAGCCGACGACGTGTTGTTTACTAAAGCCCGGTCCGTGAGCACGTAGAATTTTGTCCAATGACCCCTAGCTACCCATCCTTATCGCTCGCGCGTAATTATATTGCTGTCGCGACTGTGCGACTGGCATCCGCAGTGAGTGTGCGAGCGCGATAGCAACATAAATTACGCGCGAGCAATAAGGATGGGTAGCTTGGGGTCATTGGATAAAATTCTACGTGCTCACGGACCAGACTATAGACGACGACGACGTGTTGGTAAGTAAGGTGAGCTCCTCGTTCCACGACCAGAAGTGGCGCTGAACACACTGGAGTGGAGATTCTTATTGTCTGAGGCCAAGACTCACTTTGAGTTGCTGCGCCTTCTTAGGTGGTGAGTACATGTACTCTTCACGTTCAAACTTCACAATTACAAATTCCTTACAGATTGAACGATCATACCCAGTTGCCTGTTCTCTGTCTTAAGGGCAAATGTCTTACTGTTTACAGGTAAACCTGGCGACCCGCCAAAGATGAAGGACGAAAAGGAGTTGAAACCTGTCTCCATGAGAGTTCGAGATGCTGCCGAATCTTTGCTAATGCTCATATTGGATCAGGTAACTACAAATACCAAATTATATCAATATAGGTACAATGTGAAGTAGAGGCCACGTACCGGAAAGCGCAACGTAGGACGTCCACCCACAAGGTGAACCTACGATCTCATAAAGGTAGCAGAAAGGCGCTGGATGCAGTGGACTAATTCACGTATTTTGACAGTCAAGATCTCGCTGACGTTCAGAAGTCGTCCCATTGAAAAACAGTTCTAAATCCGTATTCATAAGGGTCATTTCGATAGAACGATCACTCGATAGGATCGCAACTCAGCGATTTGTTGTCGTTGACTTTTTGTTACGTCGTCCCATTGAAAAACAGTTCTAAATCCGTATTCACAAGAGTAATTTCGATAGAACGATTACTCAATATGATCGCAATTCAGCAATTTGTTGTCGTTGAAGTTTTGTTACGTGAATAAGGCTACAGGCCGCTGCCAACCGGCCTTTGTGGAAATCATTGAGGGAGGCCTATGTTCAGCAGTGGACGTCCTATGGCTGAAATGATGATGATGAGATCGAACAATTTGTTTGTCTTTAGGAGGGTGAGAACGAACCGGGTGGTGGTCGCTGGTGCAGACTCGACGAGAGATGGTTGCGAGCGCTTGGCCACGGCAGACTTCGACATTTCGTGGCGGACGGTGGTTTACTACTGTCGCTGCTGGAGGAACCGCTGGCTAACAGCCAGGAGCCGCAGCCGACGCTAGTTGGTGAGTGTCGCTGCCTAGCTGATACCTAGTTAGAGGTTTCTCAAACATTTCTGGGTCTTGTGTTACATGCAAGCTACGATATCTTGTTTTCATAAAGTCGATATGAAAGCAGTCTTTCGCCGTGCAGACGAAGATACTTTTTTGTGTTTAGTTGCTGCCATCTACTTGACATTATATTCGTTTTCGATTAAAAAGTGTTTAGTGTCAGCAATCGGCAACTTAAAGTCGTCAGCAGACGACGTATTAAATACACAGCAATTTGGTGTCGCCGTGTCGACAACAAAGTGTTCGATCGCCACCACGGCAACAGAAAGCGTCTACGTTTGCGTAGCAGCCTTTTAGGCGTTTGTTACACTTGACGGAGATGCTGTCACGGATCTTTCGCCAATCCAAGCTATTGCTTATAAATGACTAAAACTGGTATACTATGCGGATGATCGGTCGCCTTAATTGATGAGTGCAATGACTTGTGGTGCGTAAGATCTAATACGGCATTTCTGTCACTTGAGGTACGAGTAAAGGCCTTAGGTGTACGAGTACCGGTATTCAAAGAACTATTTCTTGCAGTGATAATCCGGTGCGGCTGGGGCCGCTTCGCGTGGTCGCTCAGCAGCCGGGGCGCCGCGCGCTGTGCGGGCCGGGGCGCCGGCGCGGCCTGCGCGCGCCCCGTCGACATGCTGCCCGCGCCCCGGCCCCCGCCCCCTGCCTGCCGCCCGCTGCAGCCGCCGCCCCCGTGCGCGCTGTGAGTAAAGCCACATAATAATAATAAGATTAATAAGTACTACGTACAGAAGTTTTACTTCGCGAAGGTATTTAAAAAAATGTATGCTCAATGTCATTAACAATATGGTGTAATTTAGCCTGTCTCAAGAGTCGAGCACCATTTTGTTGACAAACGTCAGTGATCGGCACTGCGCCGAAGCTATAGGGCTGACTTCGGTAAAATGATGTGACGAAAATGGCGGAGGAAATACATGATTTAGCATGAATTATCATGAATAATATTAACTACTTATTTACCTCTCAGTGTCTTGAGGCAACTTAAAAAGTACATTCCGTGTTTTTATTATTATTTAGGCAGTTAAATACTGCACAGTATTTAGTACGCCATTTTCTTTATTTTCTTCCATCATACACAAGAATACGCGTGCGTGAGTCAATGTTCGCTCATATGTGAGGTGAGGCCTTGTCGAATAGTATCCTGTAGGTGGGCCATCGTGCGTGTTTTGTTTTCGATGTAAACAGGCCTGGTAAAGCCTGGTCCGTGAGCACGTAGAATTTTGTCCAATGACCCCCAGCTACCCGCTCGCACACTCACTGCGGGCGCCCGTCGCACAGTCGCGACAGCAATATAATTACGCGCGAGCGATAAGGATGGGTAGCTTTGGGTCATTGGACAAAATTCTACGTGCTCACGGACCAGGCTTTAGACTACTGAGCGGTATACGGACCTGAGACGTGGTCGTTTATTATGGACCTCATGTCTAATGTCCGTGTTGCACACACTCTTTTGAAGGTTGGAGACTCTACACTCGAAGATGTTGACAATTATGTATACCTGGGACAAACGGCCCAGTTAGGTAGGGCCAACTTTGAGAAAGAGGTCAATCGTCGAATCCAACTCGGCTAGGCAGCGTTCGGGAAGCTACGCGACATACTCAAATCCGAAATACCGCAGTGTCTCAAGATAAAAGTCTTTGATCAATGTTGACAGTGATGGTATATGGATCTGAAACGTGGTCGCTTACTATGGGCCTCATAAGAAAGCTCAAGGTCACCAAAAGGGCAATAAAGCGTGATACGCTTGAAGTTTCCCTGCGTGATCGAAACAGAAATGTGGAGAATTGTAACACCTACTGATTTGTAAACCCATTTTCGCAAAATATGTAATTTGAATTTGAAAAAAAAAAATGAGATCCGCAGGAGAATCAAAATGACTGACATAGCCCGAAAAATCGCTAAAATCAAGCTCGTAGAGCTGATGGCTGCTGGGGCAGAAAATTTCTCGAGTGGTGACCACGAACCGGAAGACGTAGTGTGGGCAGGCCTTCCGCTAGGTGAACCGACGATCTGGTGAAAGTCGCGGAAGGTGCCGGATGCGGACGGCGCAGGACCGGTCTTATGTAGAAATCCTTGGGGGAAGCCTTTGTCCAGTCTTTCGGCGATAACGATAATGATTCTGAAAGCTTCAGGATAAAAATGATAATGTAAACCATGTTTCTTTCCACAGCGACAGCGCGTTCCCAAGCCTAGAGTCTGTGCTGAGACAGCTGAACGACCCCGAAGCGCCGACGCTGTTCAAACTGCTGGACCAACAGGCCGCGATAGAGAAACGCGTCACGGAGAGCGAAGATAATGTTGTGAGTATATTCGTAGAAAAGTAGTAAAAGATGAGTATTTAAAACGCACTTTACTTAATCTATGTTTTGTCACCGCTTTCAACTGGCAGGAAGTCGAACCTTAACTTTGAACTCCTATGTTCTTCTGATTAATTTCCTTGCGGATCCAATGACAGTTCAACTTTCCCCGGTCTTCTTCTAACTTTTCCTCGGTCAAGCTGTAGATCCTGGCTACACTGGAGTTGCAGCGGTAGGAACGAGAGATGGAAATAGTTCCGTTTATTAGAACGTAACTTTATAAATTGTGAATTTATAAAACATAAGTTACGAAACAATTTTTTTATTCTAAGGTACCTGAAGAATACGTGCCGCCTGAGCCTGTGACCGAGTTCCAGACTGCGAGACTGTTCTTGTCACATTTCGGATATTTGAACATCGGAGGTGATAAAAAGGTAACATCAATTTTACTTACAATTTTATTCTATAGCTTGAACATTTTTTTGTGAATAAACAGAGGTAGTAGTCGTATACATTTTTGGTAGATAGAAATAGGACGTAAAAGAAGAGAAGATAGATGAATTAGAAAGGATAAGTCGGGATAAGAGATTGCGTGAAAGAGCAAAACATGCAGCAATATTAAGTAAAGAGCAGTGTTAAGAGCAACAATTTAATCGACGCGACTAATGAGATACGTTTTATTTTGCAACAAAAATGTATAGGATGATTGTGCTCTTCCGAATAACTGTCTGTGATTGTTCCTAGTGTTCAACTTCTTTTTAGTGTCAGTCAAATAAAGATACCTATATGTTTCATATTCTTGCATCAGGGAGGGCCCCCACGTCTAGTAGCCCTAGATGACACAGCACCGGGCTTCGAGGCAGCGTTGCGGCGTCTTGATGCCTGTGGGTCGCGCGCGCCACTAACCGTTCACGTGTTTTGCGCGCGCGCCGGACAGACTACTGCCGCGGCCATATTGGCTAACGTGCACAGCTGTGATACTGTGCCGCCTGGGTTCATACGCATGCTGCACGGGTGAGTTGAAGAAGAAACAGTTTTTTCTCGAATCATGGAGGTCTCCTGGCACTAGAGGACACGCCGGGCTTAGAAGTGACGGTACGATGATTGGACGCGTGCACAGCGGCGATACGTGCTGCTTGGGTTTATAAGTATGCTATACGGGTCAGTTACTTTCCTTATTAGTGAAAGGAAGACGCTAGATGACCAGCACTAGGCTTCGAGGCGGCACTACGGCGACTCGACGCGTGCGGGTCGCGCGCGCCGCTTACTGTGCATGTGTTCTGCGCGCGCGCCGGACAGACTACTGCCGCGGCCATACTGTCTAACGTGCACAGCTGCGATACCGTGCCGCCTGGGTTTATACGCATGTTGCATGGGTAAGTTGAAGAAGAAACAGTCTTTTATCGAATCATGGAGATCTCTCGCGGCTCGTGGTGCTAGACGACAGAGCGCTTGGAAATGACGCTACGATGATTGGACGCGTGCACAACTGTGATACGTGCCGCTGGGGTTTATAAGTATGCTACACGGGTAAGTTACTTACCTTATTATATTAGTGACGTGAAACTATTAGAGCTAGACGCTAAATAACACGGCGCCGGGCTTCGTTCTGCGCGCGCGCATGACAGACTACTGCCGCGGCTATACTGGCTAATGTGCACAGCTGCGATACTATGCCGCCTGGGTTCATACGGATGCTGCACGGGTCAGTAACTTTCCTTATTATATTAGTAACGTGAAGGTATTAGAGCTAGACGCTAGATGATACAGTGCCAGACCCGAGGCAGCGTTACGGCGTTACTGTGCACGTGTTCTGCGTGCGCGCCGGACAGACTACTACCGCGGCCATACTGGCCAATGTGCACAGCTGCGATACCGTGCCGCCTGGGTTCATACGGATGCTGCACGGGTGAGTTGAAGAAGAAACAGTCTTTTCTCGAATCATGGAGGTCACACGCCGGGCTTGGAAGTGACGCTACGATGATTGAACGCGTGCACAGCTGCGATACTGTGCCGCCTGGGTTCATACGGATGCTGCACGGGTAAGTTGAAGAAGAAATGTACAGTCTTTTCTCGAATCATGGATCTCCATGATTCGAGAAAAGACTGTACATTTCTTCTTCTCGCGGCTCGTGGTGCTAGACGACAGAGCGCTTGGAAATGACGCTACGATGATTGGACGCGTGCACAACTGCGATACGTGCCGCTGGGGTTTATAAGTATGCTACACGGGTCAGTTACTTACCTTATTATATTAGTGACGTGAAACTATTAGAGCTAGACGCTAAATAACACGGCGCCGGGCTTCATTCTGCGTGCGAGCTGGCCAGACCAATGCTTCGACTATCCTTGCAAATGTGCACAGCTGTGATACTGTGCCGCCTGGGTTCATTCGGATGCTGCACGGGTAAGTTACTTACCTTACTACTTTTACTAGTGATGTGTACAGCTGCGATACCATGCCGCCCGGGTTCATACGCATGCTGCACGGGTAAGTTGCTTTTCTCACTAGTGGTGTGAAGCCACTAGAGTTAGACTTTAGATGACATAGCCCCCAGCTACACCATGCCGGTCCCAGATTCTTTCGCATGCTGAAAGGGTCAGTTATTTATCTTACTTGTCATGTAGACCCATTAGAGCTAGACGCTAGATGACACAGCGCCGGGCTTTGAGGCGGCGCTGCGGCGTCGTACGCGGGACAAACTTGTCCTTCACTAGTTGGGATTTCATTGGCGGTAAAGCTGTAGATCCTGGCTACACGGGAGTTGCAGTTGCAGCGTTGCGAACGAGAGGTGGGAATAATCCCGTATGAATACCCAATTGGGTACTTTATTTTTTAAAAGGACCCTTTTGAAGTCATTATAATTTTTAACGACTACCTAAATATGGAACTTCACATTTGATTTCAAACTAATTAACTTTTTAAGGATAGAATTAAGACTTGGGAATGTTATCAAATCTTTAATTAAGTCACGTGTTCCGGCAGATTGGGCACGCCGGTATACGTGCGCGGGCACGGCGGCTGGTCGGGGCGCGCCAGCACCAGCTACGACGCGCACGCGCCCGCGCAGCCCCGCCCGCCGCCCGCCGACCCCCGCCGCGCCCCTGCCCCCGCTGTCTACGACGCGAGGGAACAAGTACGTACTGTATTTACTTTATTAAAGCTGGGTTGCACCATGTTACTCTAACTTTGACAAACGTCAAAAATCTGTCAAACTCCATGCAAAAGACACCGGTTATCGTCAAAGTTACGGTCTGCGGTTCGCAGCATACGAATTGAATAGATGCGCGTGAGTAGATACGTGTATCAACAGCATCCATCCCGCGCCGCGCGCCCGCGTCGTCCGTTTATGATGCGCGTGAGTAAGTATTGTCATCATCATCAACATTTCAGTCACAGGACTCCCCCAATGACTTCCACAACGCACGGTTGGTAGTGGCCTGCATCCAGCGCCTACCTGCTACCTTTATCAGGTTGTCAGTCCACCTTCAAGGGTCAACAGCATCCCGCCTGTCACTCTTCGTTCTACCTGCTTCGCAGCACACGAATGGAATCTTGCGAGAAAGCGTAGATACCTACTTTACGTCAATAGCGGGGCACGGCAGCTGGTCGAGTGCGCCAGCACCAGCTACGACCTACGACGCGAGGGAACAAGTACGTACTGTATTTACTTTATTAAAGCTGGGTTGCACCATCTTACTCTAACTTTGACAAACGTCAAAAATCTGTCAAACTCCATACAAAAAACACCGGTTATCGTCAAAGTTACGGTCAAAGATAGGTGGTGCAACTCAGCCTAAGACAGTTGTTTCTTACAAAAGCTATACTTGTAATTTTTGCGTATAGACACGCGCTGCTGTCTATGATACGCGGGAACAGGTTTGTTTGTCAAGGGTCACCAGCATTCCTCCTGCCACCTAAGGTTGTACCTCATAGCATACGAATTGAATAGATGCGCGTGAGCAAGTACATGTGTCAACAGCATCCATCCTGCGCCTTCCGTCTATGATGCGAGGGAGCAGGTAGGTGTGTCAGGCTGGTTTTAGAGTCAGGCTGACGCACGCTGACCGTCAGCGCTGACAGCCGAAATGTATGAAGCGTCGACGCCGAGCGATCAGCGTCACTCAGGAACGTTCCCTTTAATTACATACATATTGATCTGTCAGCGCCGATGATCAGCGAGCGGTCAGCGCGATTCTAAAACCCGCCTCAAAGGTCAACAGCGTCCCTACTGCCATCTAAGGTTCTACCTCGCGCAGCACACGAATTGAATCTTACAAGAAAACGTCAATAGCGGTGTACAGAGCGCGAGCTGTCTACGACGCGAGGGAACAGGTAAGTGCTGAGTCAACACCAGTATCATCAATAGCCTCTTGCGCCTTAGCAACGCTCCTAACCACCTTCTGCCACTATCCCGCGCCCTCCGCCAATTGACCCGCGTCGTGCGCCTGCCTCTGCCGTCTATCGTCCGCCGTCTGCGACGCGAGAGAGCAGATAAGTGTCATCATCATTTCAGCCACAGGACGTCCACTGCTGGACATAGGTCTCCCCTAATGACTTTCACAACGCACAGTTGGCAGCATCCTGCATCCAAAGCCTATCTGCTACCTTTATCAGGTCGTCTTTCTACCTTGTGGACGTCTAACGCTTCGTTTTTCGGTACGTAGCCTCCACTCCAGAACCTTGCTGCCCATCGGCCGCAGGTACGCTTGTCAAGGATCAACAGCATCCCTCCTGCCACTCTTGGTTCTACCTGCCTCGCAGCACACGAATTGAATCTTGCGAAAAGGTGTAAGTACTTTATGTGTGTTAGCAGCATTGTGCGTCCGAACAAACCTCAGGCACCCCACCCCGCTCTACTATGATAAGCGATTCAGGACCGTAGAACGTGAATCATGAATCTTACTTAGCCAATACAGGTGGTGTTGGCGTCTACGATGCACGTAAACTGAAGCTGCGTCGACGCTTATTTAAATTTTGATCTCGTTTTCAGGTTATATACTGGGCAGACTCTACGAACGAGATAGCATTTGTGGTGCCTTCAGGGCACGAGCTAGATGAAGAGAAAAGTGATACCGACGGCGGCTGCCAATCTACCAGGTATCACTGTTAAGGCCCTTTTGCGTCAACTTATTTAGTAGTCTTATCACAGAATAATAATAAGTACTACGTACAGAAGTTTTACTTCGCGAAGGTATTTAAAAAAATGTATGCTCAATGTCATTAACAATATGGTGTAATTTAGCCTGTCTNCCAGGAACTAGCGCAGCAGTACAAGAAGGATTTGTCTGAACCTGAACTGCTGGAGTCCTTATTCCGAGCACCATAAGTTTCGAATTCGAGATGAAGAGATTGATTCGGGATTTCAAAAATAGAAACTAAAGATACTCCACCATTTTTATCGCCGAATTTATGGGATGGTTACATTGATACTTCCTTTAGAAGGATTTGGCAAGCACTTTGTGAGTAACGGAGCGTACAGCAGATTCATTTAATTTAACGCATTATTAATTTCGTACTTATTTATTAACGTTGATGTATTTTTTTAAAGTATTGTTTTAGTATTATCGCATATGAAATTATGTAACTTAATATTAAGACTGATTTTGTTAATTTTAATGTATCTCAAGTGTTTAACATTCCCGAATAACATGATATGCATAGGTGCTTAAATGATTATATTTTAAAGCATAATATTATTGTATTTATTAATAAATAAAAACGTTTACTTAATTTCTGTCTTTGATTCAGTTCTCAATCTTTTCCTTTTCCAGTCCTCGAAGTTTTCAATTTGAAAATTATTTTGAAAGAAAGAAAGAAAGAAAGAAAAAATATTTATTTGGTACTAAAATAATGATACACATTTATGTTCGGTTTACCATTTGGTTCGCACCTTTTGTACCCTTTGCACCACCGGCCCGCACCACTGGTGGTGCAAAGGGTATTTTTTAATCCCTTTTGCACCACCAATAGTGCCGCCCTACCATTAACTGTAAAACGATTATCTATAATCATATAATATTAATATTATAAAGAGGAAAAATTTGATTGTTTGTTTGTACTGAATAGGCTCCGAAACTACTGGACAGATTTGACAACATAACATAAAAATTTATAACAACCATTCATACCTACATACAACGAATAATTCCTAAAGTACCAGGGCAACATAATCATAAAGGAGCTATATCAAATTCTTCTTGGTTGATCCGAGAAATAAACATGTATCATAAAATAGCTCCTTTATGGTTATGCCGCCCTGGTACTTTATTCGTTGTATGTAGGATGTAGGCCCGGGGTATCGTGGGTCTGAAGTGAAATGTTTATAGGCACTTACACACACACAAATTGAAACTTTTAGGTAGGTTTTGATTTATTTATAACAATTAAATTATTAAGTATTTTACAGTCTACCAGTGCCGTAACTAGGGCGGTGCCAGCGGTGCCCAGGCACAGGGCGCAGACCCTGGAGGGGCGCAGAAATGACCAGACCAAGCATTTTTCAAGGGCGCAGTTTTGAAAGCTCGCACCGGGCGCATAAAAGGCTAGTTACGGCACTGCAGTCTACTACTAGTTTTACAGTCGATGGTAGTACAGCACTATTTGTTGGTGGTGCAAGAGGGATTTAAAAATACCCTTTGCACCACCAGTGGTGCAGGCCGGTGGTGCAAAGGGTACAAAAGGGGTTCGCAGATGGACGGATGAATGAATGAATATTTGGACATTTGCATTGTCCAGCTTATAAAAAATCACTATTTTTGTGCTCAAGTCTGCTCAAGTTTGCATTTATTCGAAATCCAGTTGGCTCAATGTCGGTTGTCTGTTAACCACAGATAACTATACAGGGTGTTTCTTGTAAGGTGTCAAGCCGAAGGCAGGTGATAGGTGAGGACTAGACCTATCGATTTCACCCCCATGTATGTTCTACGATTTTTCATAGTTTAGAAGTTATCGTTAATTTTGTGATTTTTTCAAATTGTATGACCCAGTAGGCTTTAAATTTTTTTATCTTTTTTTTGGGTCGACTTTTCTCAGATTTCTTTTTTTTGACAGATTCCCTATTAATTGCAGATTTTTAAAAAAAATAATCAACTTCCTATCTTTGATGCAAGATACAAAATTTTTGCTAGAAACATAAAAAATATGCTTTTAGCGGAACATTCTAAAATTTTCAACTTAAAAGTTTAAAAAAAAAAGAAATTCCGTAGGTCCAAAATAATTTTAAAAACTGCGCAGTTTTCTGAACTTTCANTATAGTCTATCCAATATAGCTTGATTAGAATGACAGCTGCCATCAAAAGTAACGACATAACTTTGTAGTAGCGATCAATGAGAGCTAAATATTGGCGGACAAGAAATAATTCACGTCTGACCTACAAACAATATTTTCGACGACAGTGCTTCCAATAAAAATGTTAATTTCGTGTAAATGCAGCGTTAAATTACACCAATAAGTAGTAATTCGAAATTATAAAAATCAAGCTAGTGTATTAACGACGTCTCTACAAGGTTATCTCGAGTTACAAAAATGTTAGCGTTGGGACATATCGACAAATGTCATATTAAATTAAAACTATTTTTTAACAAAATTTTTTTCAAACTAATTTTTTAACATATTTACGTCAAGTTATACGTTTTTCTAAATGTGCACTATTAAAAACCAAAAAACGTTTCATTCTTAAATAATCAAACATCGGAAATCAATCACCGGTAATTTTTTGGGTATTCATAGCACCGTTGCTCTAGAAGAGATGCCCACCGCCCTCTAGCAAGAGGAAAAAAACCACTGAAGAACACTGATGATAATGACTTCGACTTAGGTTGTACACCCTTGAAATGAATTTAAAATTTTACTGTCTTTAAATTTAAATAATAATTGTCATTTTTATGAATAAAGATATGAAGAAAAGTTGGGTGCATTTTTTATATCATTTTTTCGAAAATTTATCGATACATCTATGTGAACCGTACGAAACATACCCAGCACTAGTCACATTCGTTTGACAGCCGTCATTCTAATCAAGCTATATTGGATAGACTATAAAGATACTCCACCATTTTTATCGCCGAATTTATGGGATGGTTACATTGACTTTGACACTTCCTTTAGAAGGATTAGGGAAGCACTTTGTAAGTAACAGAGTGTACAGCAGATTCATTTAATTTTACGCATTATTAATTTCGTACTTATTTATTAACGTTGATGTATTTTTTTAAAGTATTGTTTTAGTATTATCGCATATGAAATTATGTAACTTAATATTAAGACTGATTTTGTTAATTTTAATGTATCTCAAGTGTTTAACATTCCCGAATAACATGATATGCATAGGTGCTTAAATGATTATATTTTAAAGCATAATATTAATGTATTTATTAATAAATAAAAACGTTTACTTAATTTCTGTCTTTGATTCAGTCCTCAATCTTTTCCTTTTCCAGTCCTCAAAGTTTTCAATTTGAAAATTATTTTATGTTCGGTTTACCATTTGGTTCGCAGATGGATGGATGAATGAATGAATATTTGGACGATTGCATTGTCCAGCTTATAAAAAATCACTATTTTTGTGCTCAAGTTTGCATTTATTCGAAATCCAGTTGGCTCAATGTCGGTTGTCTATTAACTAACATCGATTCTCTTTTTTATTTCCACCTTTTTCCACTCCAACCTCTGGCATAAACAACAAAATCGTTCGAAATTCAAACCGACTGACGTTACATCAATTCGTTTTCGAAAATGACGACTTAAAAATTTACAATAAAACGGTTTTGTCATAAGTGTTTTTGTAGTAATCGTTTACATTTAGATAATTAGCTGTTTGTTGGGTGTGGTGGGTCTGTCGATGTGATGCTGATCAGCAAAGTGCCTGACGAGGCGGCGCCCTCGCGAGACCACTCGCACGAGTACCAGACCGCCAGCGAACTCTTCGATATGATGGCCAGAAACCACCCCTTCGAACCTGATGGTGAGTACACGACACCACATTAATGCTCAACTACCTACTTGAAGTCATCTGTTTGGTCTGAGATTACAGTTGAAGGCCATCTTTGCCAGAACGGCGTATCCATTATGTACCTTAAGCCTTCGCCAAATAAAAGACGTTCCTCCTAGGTCGTCAAAGCGCCAAATTGTTTTGCTATGACGGGTTGGGATCTCGCGATCACGCTGTGTTGTTTACCCGTAAAATTCGTGCGTCAGGAACGTGTTCTATTTGGTGAAGGTTTTGAAATGTTACTTATATTTTTGTTTGTTTGTGACAGTCTTCTTTTTTTTCCTTTAAATTTTTCAGTGGGTGAAAGTCTATCAACTAGAGATTTAGTAATTTTATACAAAAACATCGATTTAGGCACAAAACTCATGTCCAACGCTGAAGAATTGAAACGAATCAGACCCAATCAACACGTGGAGACGGTCGTTTACAACGACGACATAGATTCGGAGGACTCGGACGTGAGCGAAATTTACGGTAACGAAGACATGCGCAATGTATTTTCGGTCAACAGCGAGCGAATCGATCTGTTCAATGATCGACCTCCCTACCAAAACACTCTTTGCCAGAAGTTAGGCGATTTGGAAATACAAGCTTCGAACCTGTCCATGGAGTACGACCAGCATTTCCTCTTCAAAGATCCCTACATAAAAGAGCAGCTCAAAAACTTAAACGGCATGGACGGGGAGTGCGATGGGATGGTTTTGCCGACTTCGCTCCTCGACTACATTTTTTGCAAGCGGTTAGAGGATAATTACAACTTCTACATGGAAAATATTATCCGATACGTCAAGCACACTATTGAGCAGCTCAAGCGCATCAGCAACGGGGACTACTTGACGGACAAAGCGAAAGAGAAATGGAGGGAAGTCGAGAATGCTAGCAAAGGCGACGACGACACCAAAGTCCTCGCCACGTCGACGAGCATCCCACTACAAGTCGAGCGCAAACTGAACGGAGTCTCGACCACGTGGGACGACATAATACACTCAGAAGTAGACGTAAGATCTTTATCGAAGATACTGGAGAAGAAAATTATTGTGGAAGTGCCAAAATTAATTTGTGGATCTTACAAACTTTTTAGCAAGTTCTGCTCTGATAATTTAATTATTAGTTGCAAGAGAGAGAAGGAGCCGATCGCAACTGAGAAAAAGAAAGAATCTCGAGTGGATGTGGTTCTTCAGCTAGAACGCTCGGATTCTGGACATGTCATGAGCAACATAAGTTCCATAATGATATTGCAAGCCACTCCTATCCAACTCGGTAATACTTTATACAAATTAATGTTGTGATATCGAAGTATATTAGTAGATAATTTATAATTTTGTTTCAGATGAGCGTCCCAAACCTCTTCCGTTGTCGTACAATGAAAAAGACGAAGAATGTTCGAACACTGAAATTGAAGAACTTTCTTCTGTGAACGAGCATAGAAAAGATGAAGTAAAAAAGGTTAAAATTGTTGAGGTTCAGGACACAACTGATGACGCTGATATCAATGCTGTCGGAGACAATGATACTGCTTTGAAAAATAATGAAGTTGAAATGCTAGCTGACGAAAACATTGATGATGGAAATGATTATACAAATGATTCTAAAAGTAGTGCAATGGAATCGGGTGATTCAAGTATCGCATTGAGAGATATACTAGACACGAGAGCTATTCCGAATATACTGCGAAAAGAAGCGCCATATAATTTTATATCGCCCGATGACTTATCTCTGTCCATGCATAAACTAAACTTGAGCTCTCTACCTGAGGAGAACAGCGAAGATACGTCCCAAAACCAACCAACCAAAAAGAAATCGCCAATGAAAGTTAGAATTAAGTCACCCTACGAAAACAAATCATTTATAATGGAAGAAAAAAAGAGAAAAAAACTCTTGGAAATACGCGATAAACGTGAAAAAAAGAAAATGGCAGGAGGTGAAAACTGTAAAGTTTCCAAGCATAGATACGGTAAAGGAATCATGCCGTCGAGTTCCGTCACAAACTTATCGATTACGAACAAATCGTTTTATAATTCAATTTATGGTCAAAATGTGAATTTCGACAATAAGTCCACCAAAAGTAAAGGACGTAGGGGTAAGAGAGAATTATTTATCGACGCGCCTTTGGAGCAATTGAGAGGAGAGAACGAGTCGCCGATGTTAACTCCTGATAAAAATAACAAAAAATATGTCAATCGAAGTTATTACTTGGATGAGGCCGTGACAGAAATGATGTATACGCAACTGCGACAAAGCGACTGCAGCAGTGTCAGGGAAATATTCTCGGCATCCGCTTCTGCTGTGTCCGCCGAGTTCCCCACAAACAGAGCTGAAGCTGACCCCAGTGATAAACTTGCTCCCAGTTTCCGGGAGGACTCGGAAAGGTAAGTTTGAATGACATTTCTCTAGTGTTATTGTTAACAAATACTCAAGAATATTTTTTTCCAGCGATGACGAAAACAAAGATGCATTTAATGATAATCCGGGAAAAAAAGATAGCCGCACAATTATGATCACATCTTCAAGAAGCATACTTAATGTTGTGCCCGCAAATTCGCCTAAAAATAACAAAGTTAATGATGAAGACGAAGAAGAAACTTCCGAAAATCCTGTGCCAACCGTCGCTTGTAGAAAGAGCATAGAAAAACTTTATGATCTGATGAAGAAATTAGGAAAGACCGACACGCTAGAAATGAGGTCTTCCAGAAGCAAACTCTTAACCAATATCAGCAAAGTTGACGCTATCGTACAAGGCACCTCTACCATACAAGGCAGCGACAGTGGAACCAGCCTCAAACATCATTTGACCTCATCGAATCCTAGCAGTTTTAGTTTTGAGAAAATTAATAATCACGATGAGATTCCAGATTCAAAAATAACGAGTAACAAAAATACCGATGCGCTCACTACGGTGGTCCCTAAAGTTATAATAAGTACAAAACATCAAACTGTAAAAGCTGAGGTTGAGAAAGTGAGAAAAGAGCGTAAGAAAATTGTCATGAATCCTTTGTCTAAAGTGCCAGACAACCCCCTGAAGGCCATATCGCAGCTACTTCACGAGTTTGATAGCGTGCAAAAAACCAGGCAACGTCTTCCATCAGATTCCAAACCTAGCAGGAAAAGTGATTCATCACACGAAGGACGGAACGTACCCCGGCAAGGCTTCATGGTTAAAAGACGTTCCCGAATCGATCAGTCCGCAAGAGAAAACGAAATTCAAAGCGACAAAAATTTTAAAGTGATCGCTAGAGACCGAAGGGCCAGGCCCACCCCAGCGATGGAACTTTTAAAAATACCGCATCAGCAGATACCTATCGAGGAGAAGCACGTCGATCGCAATGTTAAGGAAGAAATACACAACCCGCACAACGATCGCGTTGCGAAAGAGGATAAGCATTTGGATCGTTTTAGTAAGAAGAAAATAGCCGATATAATAGACGAGGTGAAGGAAGCGAAAGGTGAAGCGGTGCGCGGGCCTTCGAAGATGAACTCTAGGTTGAATTCACTGGCGCAGCCGAAGAAGTCATATGTGCAGGCGCACAGCGAGGAGTACCAGACGAGGTACGGCAGGAACCTGATGGCGGATCGCTTGCAGAGGCTGGCGTCGGCGCCGCCTGCGCTCGTCGCCGAGAAGCCGGCGCTGCTGAACATCAAGAACAAGCCGAGGAGGACCGGCACGGAGGCAGTGTCGTCGGTGTCGGTGAGGCCGCCTCCGCCGCCGCAGGCTATAGGTGTGTAAAGGTGAATTTTGTTGTAACATTTTGTTCATTTTTTATCAAATAACCTCAATTCGCCTCAGCCGATTTCCATACCGCTGCAAGCTTATCGTCGATGTAACATCAAACTGCGTCATTTTTATAACGAGACGGATCACCGGTTCTCATTTTTGTAGCTTTCGATTTTATTTTTTTATTTTCGAGGTAAAATCTAGTATTTTTTCCATTGGGCCGTCGTAGGGTTGTCTAATGGTTATCCCGTGACGCACAGAGCGCGGGCTCAGGCTGCGGCGGTCGGCCAGCAGCAGCCCAGAGCCGCGCGCGCCCGCGCCGCCCCCCGCGCCCCGCCCGGGCCTCGCCTTTGATGCGCCCGATAACATGTGAGACGCTGACTTGTGATTTAAATCTGAAGTCATAAACGTTTTGTAGCTTTATTTATTAACATCGACAAACCTCTGCCAGGAAAAACAAGATGGTGGCGGTAGAGTCGTACGTGAAGAGCCACTTCCGCCGCTCGTCGCCGCACGCGCTCGGCGTGCACAAGGCGCGCGTGCCGCTCGTGCCCACGGACCTCGACCTGTGTACGTTCATCGTCCACCCTCTCATTTTCCTATCGGGAAGGTGCAAAGGAAATCAGGAATTATATAATTTTAATCGTTCGCAGCGTCAGTCGCCTCGTCCCCGACGGCGGAGGAGTCGACGGCGATCGGCAGCAGGCTGCACAGCATCATCGACAGCATGATCCACGCCGCGCCCGCGCCGCTGTCGGCGCTGCGCGAGAGCCGCGAGAGCAGCTCGCGCGACCCCGACGAGCCCGACGCCTACTCCCTCGAGAACCTCTCGCGCCATGCCTCCTCCGTCGACTCCGACTACCGCGCCGACATATTCAAGGACAAGAACGTCGAGACGGCCGTCGAGAGCTTCCAGGACAAGCGGGACCTCACGCCCGAAGAGGAGTCCAAATCCTCGGAAACGAAGTACGACCGCGAGTCGAACGTTTCCTCCGGCGAGCTCCAGAAACTGGAGGACGCCCTCCACGGCCGCGTGTCGGTGGGATCCTTTCGGCAGCTGAGAATGAACGACTTCGCGCTGACGCCCAAGCGATCGTTGCAGCGAGCGCTGGTCGTCCGTTCCGGCGACGTTGTGCTCAAATCTTCGATATCCAAAAGCCTGAAACTGAGCAGCTCCCGCTCTGACGTCTCCGCAGATTTAAACACGTTGCCCGCCCTTGGAAATTCTCAACTGGGTTGGAATTTTCGCAGCAACATCCCGATGCAAATCGCGACCGTCGGATACGCGTTCCCCGATTACCACGCGGCCTACTGCGAACCGAATACGGCGATCAAATCCTTGGACAATATTTTCAAACTGGGAATCTCTCTGAGCAGCTCGTCCACAAAAAACAAAAAGTCGGATAAGACGAGTCAGTGTTTTAAGGGATCACAGTCGAAGTGCGACACTCAAGATAATACAGCGTCGTCTCTGAATACTGCTGACGCGATGCCTGTAATGAGAATGAAGCAAATGAGTATTGCGTCGGTTTCCACGGAAGCTCGCCTGTTTAATAATATTGAAAAAACTTGTGGCGACTGTTCAATTGTAGTACCAGAAAAACGCCAGACCGAAGTCGAAAAGGTGAAGACTAAAAGTAACGCTGAAAGTATAGATTGCACTTCATCTTTGGACATGCTTGTTGGACTTCTGAACGAAATCCAGAAAATAACCACGGGCCATATCACTGACACTGTACAATATGCGGACGAGCAGGATTGCAAAGAGCTGGAGGATGTCATAAATGGCAACGATGCAATGAAGGATACGGCGAAAAATATTGACTCTCACGAATTGGTCTCCATCGCATCCTTGGACAAAATGAGGCAGTTGGAATCTAGCCCGAGTATTTATTCTCTGTACTTGTCCGATGGCGATAAGGAGTCGATTGAGGAAAAGATTGGGATTCCGCGACTGACTACCAGCTTAAAAAGCGTACTGCGTCACGAAATACCGATTCACGTGGACAAAGAAGTTGGCGCTGATTTCCCAGTGAGGGAATACACGAGTACTTTTACTGACGTGCCATCAACGTTTTTCCCTATTACCATAACTCACAGCACTAATGTCACTAATTCTCTAATCGGGATTCTGAGTAAGCCATCAAGCCAAACAATGTTTTCGCTCGAAGACTATGAAAGTGCGTGTGCGGACTCTACCTTCAATTGTAAAAAGATTATGGAAATCACAGAAGAGTCTAAAACTACTCAAATCTGTGAAACGCCTGTGATTGCGTATCCTGATAGCGAGAAACGTGTGGAGACTTTTACTGAACAGCAGGTGGAGGTATACAGTGATGTTGTTATTGAAAATGTAGCAATCATGGAGGTGCACAAAGCTAAAACTGAGATGAATTTATTTAGCAATTGTACCAATTACCACAAGAGTTCGGACTTTGATCCATTAATGAAAATGAAGCGAGATCTTTTAGTAACAATTTACTCGATGCTGGTTTTGACTGTATTTGCTGCCTTGTCGTTTCCAGAACTTGTGTACCATGTCTGAACTGTGAATGTAAGCTTTTATTTGGATGTCTTTATATGAAACTTATTTATTTTGGTATTTATTGTTTAGTTGAAAAATACAAGTATTTATTACAATATTTAGTTTTATTTTTACGTATTACTTCAGACAGGTGCAACAAAATCATAACCCTCCTTCTGGTGCAGTCGGGTAAAAAATGAAACGTTCCATAGCACAAGACTCCTAGTGCCTAACCATAAGTAGGTTTGGTTCCTAGAGAGAGTGTGCAGAATTGCAGAGGGATAGAGAAACCTCTTTCACTGGAAGAGTGGAGGCACCCCTCACCTAACCACATCAAGTTTCGGTTTGTTCCCGCCTTGGCTGTTTGTCAACGTCCAGGCTGTATAATACTAAACGTCGTTGACAATTTCAAAAAATACAAGAACAGCTGACTGCTGTCAAAGTCAAATTCGCGTGGTACAAAAAATGTAAACAATGCATTTTTTGTGAAATACGCTATCATAATTCAGAATTAAGTTACAAATTAATGAAAAACATAAACCGAGACATTATAATAATCTGTAATTTATATATCATTCAATCTACTCCACTCCAAATATGGCAGAATTGGTAAGTAAGATTTCCAATGTTACTCCAGCATTTCTTGTGGTGTTCTTTTAGGAATAAGTTTAATTTTGTGTTTTGTTCGTTCCTTGTAAGTTTACTATACACAAAATCATCGATTTGTTAAAATTAAACTCGAACTTAATAATTTCCAAACCTAACCTCAAAATCATACCTCGTCAAATGATGTTACCGTAGCTTTAAAAAAAATGGTTAACAAATTTCCAGAGACAACTAGAAGATCAAGAGCTAGGAGCCGAATTTGTGGTAGACAGCACTGCTCCTGTAGAAGAGATTCTACAGAACTTAATTGAAAGGGAGCATTACAGTAAAGCGTATAAGTTCTACCGTTACCTATTGGTTCAGAGGCGGCACACAGCGAACGCTTGCTGGAACCTGCACTACACTCTCCCTGGACATCCCCTCAAAGTTTTTGAGGACGGCTGGGATGGGGACATTGACCATGACTATTTCGAACCCTTCCCCTATAGAAGCACAATGCCCAAAATCATAACTCCAATGCGGAACATGAACAAAACTGACCCTGTGACTGATTATATGAAGATAAAGAATGATTGGAAGCATGAAATTGCTATAATTAAAAAGCAGAGTGGCAGTAAGTATGATTTTATATTTTCTTTATTATTCGTTAGTTCGTTTCAGCCAAATGACGTCTACTGCTGGACAAAGGCCTCCTCCAAGGTTTTCCACAATGCATGGTCCTGCGCTGCCCGCATTCAGGCTCTTCCCACGACCTTTACGAGATCGTCGGTCCACCTAGTAGGAGGTCTGCCCACGCTACGTCTTCCAGCCCGTGGTCGCCACTCGAGATTATTATTAGGTATTATTCATTGCCAAATGATTTTGTATTTTGGCTTAATTAATAAAACTATGTTATGAAGTTTTAATATAATAAAAAAACTGATAATGTTTATTCCAGGAAAAGTTGTACGCAAGCTAAACAATGATGTCATGCAAGTATCAAAGTTCCTAATCGACTTGGCAGCGACTATGGAGAAGGACCCTGACCCTAACTTTGACTCTACGTTCAACTGGTACTATGCAGGAAACGGAAACTTACAGCTGGTCTGCATCAACTGGGTCGATTACCTGCTCCATGGTGAATTTAGTGTGGTGTGTGAGTATCATTTAACATTTTGTTAGAAGAAAAGCTACACAAGGGATCAACTGTACTGAACATACACTTTCATGTTTCAGATTTAACCAGATTTCACAGAGACAGTACTGTGAGCATTGAGAATGAGCATACTTCAAGTTTTGACTGTAAAGCTGGAAATATCCTAGAAACAATTTGTTCCTCTCAGAATATAGTAGCTCTAAGAACGAAACGATCAATTATTATGTTGAAGATCATTGAAACGGATGATAACATTAATTTCGAACTACTGAAAAAGTTTGACTCGGATGTGCCATTCACAAGTATCAGATTCGACAAGCACCACACGAATATACTTTACGTCACAACACTGGACGGTAATTTGAAAATAGTGAACGTGGATAGAGTGACGGCGAGGAGCGTCAAACTGGTGCGGCAGAGCAAGTCTGACGTTAACAATTGGAACTGCGTGATCGGTGGGGAGCGTGCGACGTACGCTCACATCGAGAGGCGGTCGATAACATTTTACGACAAGCGGACCCACGACGCAGTTTTTAAGTGGTCGGGCTTGCGGCAGATTATAGACGAGGTGCGGTGTAATGATATCACGGCGGCGACCCTGGTCGAAGGCAGCCCGGCTCTGTACTTTGCGACGGATCATCATTTGTTTTTGTTCGACGCGCGTAACTCTGGTGCTAAACGGCCGTTGCTGCGCTGGACGCACGGGCTCAAGTGCGCGCCGACGTATCTCGCCGTCGCTAGCGCAGAAGACAACAGGTAATGTGTTTTAACTTGTTTTCTATTTAAGCTTTTGACTTATTTATTAAAACCTAAGATTAAAACAAACATGTATACAGCATAAGCGGAAGTGTCACACTAAAATGATGCCCATGGGTGCTATTTCGCTTTAATCACAATCTGGCTGAACTACTACTGCTTGTACTTATCTCACTTCGTGTATGAACAATCCAAGAATTAAAGACAAAGTCTACGGCATTACTTTTCAAATTCGCGATGTTGCCTAAAGCCTAGTCCGTGAGCACGTAGAATTTTGTCCAATGAAAATTCAATTCAATTCAAACAAAAAATTCTACGTGCTCACGGACCAGGCTTTAGTTTATTCCATTCTAGGTCTATAGCAATGTAAGCCCTGTGGCCACGTGGTCCTACTGCCCCTGTGCTACCGATCGGACCACATGAACTCTATCTTCGTTTTTTGTTTTAATCTAATATTTAAAGAAAGAAAGATACATTTATTACAATGGACATCACACAAATACAGGCAATTACATAGACATGACAGTGGCACATAATAATGGAACAAGAAAAAAAAAGTAAAAACAAGAGTAAACTGAGCAGTGCCACCCACTCACCAACAAGATGCCCACTGCAACGGGACCCCACTCAGCATATGCCGTGGCCCACGGTGACGAAGGCCACGGCGCTGGTTTTCAGTGTGCCCCATGCCGAGTGAGGGTCACGGACCATTGGTAAAATAAATAAAATAGTAAGCTGCATAATATTTCGAATGTATTATTCACAGTATTTTTTTTGCAGGGAGGTGGTGGTGCTCACGAGCCAGTGGTGCGAAGACGCGTGCGTGGTGAGCAGCTACTCTGATTGCGTGCAGCGCGGCGGGGCCGCGCCCGGCGTGTGCCTGCCCTACCACCCACCCAGCTTGCTGCAGGTCAGTGCCCAGGGCTAATTGACATGTTGAGTATGTTGACACCACCAATCAATTGACGTACTCTTTAAAACTGTCAAAACGAAACTCCCTTATTATTTGTATGGCAATACGAGCAAGTGACGTCACTATTTTGTCAACTCAATTAAAAATCGTGATTAACAGATAATTTAAAATTGATTAAGTTTTTAAGACCAGAATGAAGTGTCTTTTAAAAAAAGTTATGATTTCGAATTATTGGGGAATGGTGTCAAATTGTCTATTGAGGCGATAGTAGCCAACTGAATACTGGATACAGTCGGCAGAGTAGAATACGTTTGTTACTAACCCCTACTCTCCGGGGGTGTCGAGGCGACTTAGTGAAGACACATCAAACAAAGAACGGGCAGTAGCGCTCTGAAAATCATCAATCTTTTAAACTGCGACCTTCAACTCGCCTAGGCATGCCAAGCGTGGGGATTATTAAGGCAAAACTCTCCACTATAGTGGAGGAGGCTCATAGTTCAGCTGTGAACTGTAAAGGGCTGTTGATGATGATAATGAATAACCTATCAAATCAATAGAGGACGATGCCTATGTTCAGCAGTGGACTTTATCTTATCTTCGTTGACCGCTGAACTATTGTGGGGAAACAACATGACATAAAAAATAACATGTCTAGTGATGTGACCCGTGCACCCACTGGTCTACCCACTGTAGGGGGAAAAGCTTGCGACCTTTACTGCAGGGACCTGTCAAGTTTAGCTGTAACCGTATCTTGCACCTTTTGCTTAGATTGAAACTAGACGACACACGATATAGTGTAAAACTGTCCAATTGATTAATGTCTATAATTTATTTATCCCAGGTGTTACACGAGGCGCGCCTACGCATGTTATGCTGTTCCCTCGCCAGTCCCATCGAGCGGCGCCTATCCGCAGCCACCACCGGCCTCTTATCTCTCCCTCACGCCGCCAACACTCTCCTGCTCACTCACAACTCACTCGGAGACATCGCTTATCGAACCATCCACCCGGACTACATGGAATCCTTCATGGATGACGACAGCGCGCAGAAGTTGCACGAGTGGAGCCGCCCCTGTGAGGCCGAGAGGAAACCGATAGAAGTGTCCAGGGTCACGAATATAGCGAATCTGTGGAAGAAGTTGAAGAAGATACCGGAGGACTTTAGCTTGGTGCCGACGGAGGAGCCGATGCAGTTTGATGATGAAAAGGTAAAGTTTTAAGAGGTCTATTTTTTAAACGATATTCAAAACTAGATTAAAACAAACTAAAGTAACATAATCACAGACTTGAAACTGAGAATCCTTTTGTAAAAAAAGCCAAATTCCAATACTGCAAATAAATGCACATTTTACAATCCAATCAAGGTAGGCAATTACAAATAAGAACAAGGAATTTTTGACATATTGTTGCTCAAAAACTGGTTGGCATTTTGCGAAGTTGGCATTCTGAGCTGAGAGAGATTTTCAAGATTTTTAGTTTTCATAGTATAAAACAATATATTTTGCGTCTATTCTAGGTATATGAAGCGTTCGTGAACGAAGAGATAATGCCAGAACTGNAAATTGTGCGCCATGTCCATTAAAGCTTCTCGGAAGTGACATACTCAAATGATGGGCATAGGCATCATTTCGTTTCAGTCACAATCGGTCTGACCTACTAGTCCTACTACGCAATACTCGCGCGCAGTCTTCTTGAACTTATAAAAGTGTACATACAAACAATTCACGAAATAAAAACAAAGTCCACGTCATCACTTTTGACATTCGTGGTTCAAATTCAAATTATTTATTTGCTCAAATGGTTGCTTGGTATTGTTAGGGCCTAGATTTTTCTATAGCAATGTCAGCGACGCCACCAACCGGCCATTGTGGAAATCATTGGGGGAGGTCTATGTTCAGCAGTGGACGTCCTAATGGCTGTAATGATGATGATGATGATGAATGAAATTGATGCCAATATCTACTTTATTTGTTTTAATCTAAGATTTCAAGTTTATTCACAGTATTTTTTGCAGGGAGGTGGTGGTAGTCACGAGCCAGTGGTGCGAGGACGCGTGCGTGGTGAGCAGCTACTCTGATTGCGTGCAGCGCGCCGGGGCCGCGCCCGGCGTGTGCCTGCCCTACCACCCGCCTAACTTGCTGCAGGTCAGTGGACAAGGCTAATTGAGGCGATAGTAACCAACTGGATGCTGGATGATAGCCGCTACTAACCTATCAAATCATTAGAGGATGCCTATGTTCAGCAGTCAAGTGGACTTCCTGTGGTTGAAATGATGATAAATAATAGCAAAGGTCACTGCTGCCGTGTCGTAACAATTAGTATCAGCTCATGAGTCATCTTCACGAATCGGTAGCCCAACAAACATCCTGTTTCGCGCATGTATACTCGATATTATTCTGTGGCTCGACTTGCCGGACACCTGGCAACCCTGCTCGTGCACCCACTGGTCTACCCACTGTAGGGGGAAACGCTTGCGACCTGTACTGCAGGGACCTGCTGAGTTTAGCGCTGTAACTGTATCTTACAAATGCTTAGTTTGGAACTAGACAACATGTGTCATAGTGTAAAACTGTCTAATTCATCATCAACAGCCCTTTACAGTCCACTGCTGGACTATGAGCCTCCTCCACTATAGTGGAGGGTTTTGCCATAATCCCCACGCTTGGCAAGCGGGTTAGAGATCGCAGTTTAAAAGATGATGAAGAGCACTGTTGCCCGTTCTTTGTTTGATGTGTAGTCCCTAAGTCGCCTCTTACGACTGTCGACGAAAACTGTCTAATTAATTAATGTCTATAATTTATTTATCCCAGGTGTTACACGAGGCGCGCCTACGCATGTTATGCTGTTCCCTCGCCAGTCCCATCGAGCGGCGCCTGTCCGCCGCCACCACTGGCCTCTTAGCTCTCCCTCACGCGGCCAACACCCTCCTGCTCACTCACAACTCACTCGGAGACATCGCTTATCGAACCATCCACCCGGACTACATGGAATCCTTCATGGATGACGACAGCGCGCAGAAGTTGCACGAGTGGAGCCGCCCCTGTGAGGCCGAGAGGAAACCGATCGAGGTGTCCAGGGTCACGAATATAGCGAATCTGTGGAAGAAGTTGAAGAAGATACCGGAGGACTTCAGCTTGGTGCCGACGGATGAGCCGATGCAGTTTGATGATGAAAAGGTAAAGGTCTATTTTTTAAACGACATTCAAAACTAGATTAAAAGAAACTCAAGTAGGTACACAATAGATCACTGACTTGAATCTATATTGAGTATCCTTTCGTAAAAAAGACAAATTCTAATAAATACTGCAAATAAATGTACATTTTACAATCGAACCGGCGAGAGGCAATTGTGAAGAAGAATAATGTACCTATTTTTTTTTAACTAATATATTATGTTGCTCAATAACTTCTTCATGATTTCGTAAATGAAATTTCCAACATTTTTTAGTTTTTAAAATTAAACAAAAATATTTTGCGTCTATTCTAGGTATATGAAGCGTTCGTGAACGAGGAAATCATGCCAGAGCTACTAGACGCGTGGAACATTGGCGGCACATCGGCTGGCCCGCGACAAGATGACGACTCGCTGGCGCTCCATCTGCACTTCGACGACAGCGACGAAGGCTAAGCCACGCCCCCTGCAGGTGGAGTAGGCGGAGCGTGGCGAGGACACGCCCACTTATTAGAAGCTGGCAGGAATCTAAAAAATGTACCGATGTCTGTATAAACCCGGCCGTCATGGAGTCAAGGTATAATCGACACCTTATAGAAAGTCGTGGTCGAGCGAATTAAAGAAGAATACTACAGAAGGACTTCAATTCCTTCAAGGAATTACGAATTAAAGCTCAGCGTAAGTTATTTTTATCTTCGCTCAGGTGATATAATGCTGTAAGGTAAAGTTTAATGTCTCAAAAGATCTCAAATAAAACAAGTATTTTAAATAAACAACTATATTTCCTATCTAAATGACTGTTAACAATCTCTCCCGCAAACGCACGTCCATACACTCATGTACACACTAAACATTAAATTATAAACATAACAAATGCTCTTCGATGCAAATTAACACTTTCCCATGATTGAGTAATAAAATATACTCCAATAATGGAAAAGTGGTTAAATTACTGTCGTCAATACATTACATACACGTATTACAATAATAAAACAAAACTCATATAGTAAAGTTATTAAGACAGAAAAAGGAAACGAGAAATTTATAAGTACTTGCGTAGTAAATTTACAGAATAGGAACTAAAGCATCTACATAATGAGGGTTTTCGCGAATGAAAAATCCGCCAGATGGCAATACGTAGACGCGAGGTCCGAAATCCAAATGCTGCATGATTGGTTATTTTTGACATGACATTGACAGATATGTCAAAATCCACCAATCACGCAGCAGTCAGACCCCACATCCACGTCCCGCCATCTAGCGGATCTTTCATTCGCGAAAACCCTCATTCGACCAACACCGGCAATCCACGTTAACAGAACTTGGCAATCTTGCAAACAAATAAGTACGACCAAAATTGACACCGACAGGGATCAGTCGCGTCAGTGATCAATGGACTCCTAGCAATATTAAAATCAGGTCACAGTTGGATTTCTCAATCACTAGTTTTTGACACGTTTTGTTTGCAAGATTGCAAAGTACTAAAGTTCAAAATACCTAAAGTACGATACACGGGCTTTTTAGGTACGCCGCGTAAAGCTTACTTTGAATCTACAGCTGGGCCATTGTGCGAACAGAGCATTATATGTATTTAAAAGTGCTCTAAGTAATAAGTGTACATTTTTGCTTGAAAGAACATAAAATTAGAAACTAAAATTAATGTAAAACAAAAAGAAACAGATTTATAAAACCGTTTGGTTAAATATGTAAGTCAATAAAACAGTTCACGGTAGGTAATGTCTCAAACTTATACATACATCAAATACGCCATAACAAATAACACAATTTGTTAAATAATTTATTTGTATACAGTACAAATAGCTTTAGAGGTTTGTGGCTTCATAGGTACTTCATCATACATCGCTAGATTCTAGGAAACTTCATAACTAGGATTGTGAACCAGACTAAAGTGATAATAATCACATTACCTAAGAGATTAAATGCATAAATTAATTGCAAAATATTAGATTGAGCAGTAATAAATATGTTAGAACTGATTTGTCAAAAACATAACCTTCCTTCAGGCGAAGTCGGGTAATGAAACATGAAAGTTGTAAACAAAGGTTTTTTTGGCCAAACAATCGCCCATCTATAATTTTTGTATTTTTTACGAAACACGATATGGGATTCAGGCGGTTTTTCACTGTCTTGGGATGCGTGCGGCGGCCGGAAGAACAAAAAATATGATGAATTGAAATCGCAAAAATAAAATGTCTGTTTGTATTGATTTATGATGTCCAAACCGAAGTGTTCTTGACCACAATATTGTTAACATAGATGAGGTGAAGAAGTGATATTATGTACCCAATAGGTACTAATATAGGTGCCTTATGTTTTGTTTTGGCGTTTGGCGATGGCAACCTTTTGTGACTAATGAACTGGCTGCATTTATAAAAGATCTGGCTCTGCTGGCAGTGAACGACTGGATTAATAGACGAGTCTTAAGTATTGCTGAGGGTCCTGGCTTGGTCCTTCTTGCGCCTGGTAAAGGTCCTAAGTCAACTAAAGGTGAGCGGCTGGAATAATAGTGATGACTGACAAGGTGACGTCAACCGATCGGAACCGACTAACAGCTGATATAGGTCCTGATGCTTTTTATGTAGCTAACGACAAAGATGACCTGCCGGCCTAGGATGCGCACTACGATATAATCTTATCCAAGATTTTAGACGACAAATGTGTGGGTTTATCGTTTAAAATCGATAAGATTATCACATATCGTGAATCTTAGCCCAGCTGGTCCTCCTGCTACGTCCTATTGCTGTGAAGATGAGTCTTAAGTATTGCTGAGGGTCCTGGCCTGGTCATGCTAGCGCCTGATCTAGCTGACAATTAAGGCTCGGCGCAAATGGGCCAACGACTTGCCACCGGTTGCTGTGGTCGGTGGCCCATGAGTCTTAAGTATTGCCAGAGTAAATACAAATGAGTAGGCCATCTTCATAGAAACGCACCGAGCGCGGTTTGTATGTGAGCGCGCCAATATACGTATGCGGCGCGCACGCACACACTGACAAAATTCGGCGCAACCACGACTGGCTCCCCGCTAATCCACGCTTGTCAGTGTGTGCGTGCGCGCCGCATACGTGTTGGCGCGCTCACATACAAACCGCGCCCGTGCGTTTCTATGAAGATGATCTACTCATTTGTATTTACTCTGGTATTGCTGAGGGTCCTGGCCTGGTCCCGCTAGCGCCTGGTGAAGGTCCGCAGCCAGCTGGAGGTAACCGACTAGGTTTATAGGTGAGTCTTAAGTATTGCTGAGGGTCCTGCTAGCACTTGATAAAGGTACGCATCTAAAGCCTGGTCCGTGAGCACGTAGAATTTTGTCCAATGACCCCAAGCTACCCATCCTTATCGCTCGCGCGTAATTATGTTGCTGTCGCGCTCGCACACTCACTGCGGGCGCCCGTCGCACAGTTGCGACGGACCAGGCTTTAGCTGACAATTAAATGTTCATAAATGAGTTAAGTATTGCTGTGGGTCCTGGCCTGGTGCCGCTAGCGCCTGGTAAAAGTCCTCAGCCAGCTGGAGGTGAGCGACTTCGTTTATCTTAGGGTCCTGCTAGCACCCGATAAAGGTACGCATCTATCTGACAGTTAAATGTTGGGTTAGAAGAGTCCTAAGTATTGCTGAGGGTGCTGGCTCCTGCTAGCGCCTGGTAAAAGTCCGCAGCCAGATGGAGTTGAGCAGCTGGACCTGCTTAACGTTGCACACAGGGTTCTAACAAAGATATCACGCATCGCGTACGCATCTAGCTGACAGTTAAATGTTGAGTTAGATGAGTTAAGTATTGCTGAGGGTCCTGGCTCCCGCTAGCGCCTGGTAAAAGTCCTCAGCCAGCTGGAGGTGAGCAGCTGGGCCTGCTTAACGTCGCACACAGGGTTCTAACAAAGATATCACGCATCTAGCTGACAGTTAAATGTTCGGTAAGAAGAGTCTTAAGTATTGCTGAGGGTCCTGGCTTCCGCTAGCGCCTGGTGAAAGTCCTCAGCCAGCTGGAGGTAAGCGACTGGGTTTATTGCTGAGGGTTCTGGCCTGGTGAAGGCCCTAAGCCAGCTGGCAGTGAAAGACGAGACTTAAGTATTGCTGAGGGTCCTAGCTTCTGCTAGCGCCTGGTAAAAGTCCGCAGCCAGCTGGAGGTAAGCGATTGGGTCTATAGATGAGTCTTAAGTATTGCTGAGGTTCCTGCTAGCGCTTGATAAAGGTATGCATCTAAAGCCTGGTCCGTGAGCACGTAGAATTTTGTCCAATGACCCCAAGCTACCCATCCTTATCGCTCGCGCGTAATTATGTTGCTGTCGCGCTCGCACACTCACTGCGGGCGCGCGTCGCACAGTTGCGACGGACCAGGCTTTAGCTGACAATTAAATGTTCATAAATGAGTCTTAAGAATTGCTGAGGGTCCTGGCTCCCGCTAGCGCCTGGTAAAAGTCCTCAGCCAGCTGGAGGTAAGCGACTGGGTTTATTGCTGAGGGTTCTGGCCTGGTGAAGGCCCTAAGCCAGCTGGCAGTGAAAGACGAGACTTAAGTATTGCTGAGGGTCCTGTCTCCCGCTAGCGCCTGTTTAAAGTCCTCAGCCAGCTGGAGGTAAGCGACTGGGTTTATTGCTGAGGGTTCTGGCCTGGTGAAGGCCCTAAGCCAGCTGGCAGTGAAAGACGAGACTTAAGTATTGCTGAGGGTCCTGGCTTCCGCTAGCGCCTGGTGAAGGTCCTCAACCAGCTGGAAGTGAGCGGCGGCTCAGCCTTGTTGCCGCGCTCGCGTTCTTCCAGCTGCTCGAGCAGCTTGCGCTGGTTGTCGCGGAAGGCCGCGATGGGGTCGTCGAACTGGCTGTAGTAGAGCAACACTTCGCGCACGTCTGCCACTTCTGACATCGCGATCGCTGGAAACGATGGTTACGATTAGGTTCGGGTAGTAGCAGAAGTTTAAAAGATTGAGGTATGTAAAGCATTGGAGCGTCTTCACTCTTAGACTTTAGCAGCGCAACAGACGCGCTGCCGACAATCTATTGAAATTATGAATTTTAATTTCTGTGATGGGTCTGGGTGTAACTATGTATAATATGTATTTACAAAAAAAAGTATTTAAGTATGTTTATTTATTTATTTATTTAAACTTTTATGCCAAAATAAATTTGTACATAAGGCGAACTTAATGCACTAAAGCATTCTCAACCAGTTTACCTTTGAGTTGAGCAGAAAAGAAATTTGTTTGGCGGTACTTCTAGTGCAGGAAAGAAAAACAAATAATAATATGCTACATACATAAATAATATATAAAATATATAATAAATAAATACATACATAAAATAGATGATTGAGTTAAACTGAAATTACAATTCATGAAGATGAAATCATTTGGAGGAAGTGATTATGGACAGATTTTTGGCCAAGGATATTTTATTTATATAATCTCATACTATCTGACAGCGGATGCCTGCCTTCACATTATAAATAAGGGTTCCTTGTCAGGACTACGGAACTCTAAAAACGTCGATGCTGCGCTGCTATCACGCTTCTGACGCCTAATGTGAAAGTGGAGGGAACTTCGTGATTCCTTGGATAGAATTCATAAAATTCATTTATTTTTGCAAATAGGCTTTTAATCCTTCAAGCTCCGCGAATCTAGACACAATAGATAATCAATTGTTATGACATTAATTAATGCCGTCTGGGACTCAATCGGTTAAAAAGCACTTTTACACGTCCCAATATTAAGGCGATTAGTGTCCTCAATCCGCGCTAAATGGACATTTTGTAAAGCCTACTCCTCTTTAACTGCTGGACAGAAATAGTTGAAAAAAATGTATGTTATACAACAGTTCAAGGACTACATTTGTGACGTTTGAATTTTCGCTACGTGTCTTTGTTTTGGATTAAAAAAATAAATACGGGACATCGATTTTTTACTTAAATTCCCTACTCCTCCAAAACGGCTATGTTAATTTAAAAGATTTTTGCACGAATAGATTGGGAATTCTTTAATCTTTAAATGACACGTTGCGTTTTTCAATCGAACATTACTTTCATTCATAAATTTTACTTTTGATAAATTCCGAACGTTTTGCTGTTGAGGGGGCCTTCGCGGGGTGCGGGCGGCAGTCGGCCGCTGGCCTTCAGACGGGGAGGTTGTGTCACTCGCTACAAACTGACATTAGCGATCAAAATGAATTTTTTCTTTGGCTAAGTTGCACTACCTGACGTGACCTAACTTTGACCGTAGCTTTGGCGATAACCGGTGTTTTTTGTATGGAGTTAGACAGACTTTTGACGCTTGTCAAAGTTGAAGTAAGATGGTGCAACCCAGCTTTTGTTCGACAATAGATTTTATGTCAGAATTGTTCATAGAGTACGTGCAGTCAGATCATAAATTGCAAGCTAAATAAAAGCTTGTAATAAAGTCGGGTTTGTTCAAATTTCGAGAACGACTGAACCGACAAAAGCATTAGAAAATTTACAAAAAATAAAATAAAATTTTATCCCGCACAAAATGTTCATGGATTTTGTTATTTTTATTAAATACCTTTACGCCTGAGTTAAATGACACCGACATCAAGGTTCATCAATTTAAGTTTAAAATAATAGGCTGTAATGTATGAAGAAAGAGCTTCTATTCTGTATCTACCTATGCCCGTGTATTTTTGATCGGTGTCAAATCGGAGTTTTTGGTGCGGGGTGCGCGGGTGTTGCTCGCGGCGTGAAGGTCAAACGCCCAAGGTCATTGAGGACTCTAATCGCCTTAACCCTAACACTGCTTCGGGACAATAAATGGGCCAGTGCTGAGAAGAAGCAGCGCAAGAAACTCAGTCACTATTGTCAGCCTCCTTTTCAAGGGTTTACAGTCTTTAAAATAGAGCCTATACAGTGTCAGATAAGCCAGATTATTGCTATTTTATTATTGTTAAAAAAAATATTGTTTATTCCTAGATTTTTTTAAAAGCGACAAATAACGACCTGTTTTCATATTGACAGTTCAAATGGCTAACGCAGTACCGAATAAAATAAAACTTACTTTGTAATAAGTTGGCGAGATCTAGTAGCGACGTGTCATCGTCGGCGCCTTTCCACTTCTTCAGTATTAAAGAGTTCTCCGGGTGGAACTTGGTCGCTCCTTTATTCCAATCGACTACAATAACCTAAAATAAAAATTGATATTAGTATTCAAGCTGTGAAATGCCTTGTTTTCAAACAAATGGGTAAAAAGTTGCGCGAGACATATTCACAGACAAGTCAGACAAAATCGGGCGATAAAGGCTCTTGGTAAGTGGCATTTAGGTCGGTAGATTATGACGCATCTGCTTAATGTCTTATCATTTTTAAGGCCAAGATTGGATAGGGGTGAAAAGATAGGGACTAAACACCTATTTACAACAAAAAAATCACATTGTAATGAGACAAAGTCAAGAATTAGGCGACTTATTTTAACAGCTGCCTGAACAACGCAACAAAAGCGATCCAACCTTTGGACGCTTTGGACTAACCTTAGACAGATCCCAGTCCTTCCAAGTTCTTGACGTGCACTCCACCAATAAATGACGGGTCAGATCATAAACGCGTTGTTGGACGCAGCTACTGTCTGCAGGAACTGATCTACACCAGGATGCTTTCAACTAACCTTAGACAGATCCCATTCCTTACAAGGTTTTGACGTGCACTCCATCAATAAATGACGGGTCAGATCATGAACGCGTAGTGGACCCCGCTACTTTTTGCAAGAATTGGTCTACCTGAGACGCTTTTTGAACTAACCTTAGACAGATCCCGATTGAGTCCCTCCAAGTTCTTGACGTGCACGCCGTCTATAAAGTGCGTAGAGTCGCGGAACAGACGGTAGGAGATGAGCTTGTTCTCGGGGTCCATTTTATCGGTGACATGAAGATCGATCACGTGATATGCAGACCTTATAGGGGGCGGCTACTGTTTGCAAGAATTGGTCTACCTGAGACGCTTTTTGAACTAACCTTAGACAGATCCCGGTTGAGTCCCTCCAAGTTCTTGACATGCACTCCATCAATAAAGTGCGTGGAATCACGGAACAGGCGGTAGGAGATGAGCTTGTTCTCGGGGTCCAGCTTGTCGATGACGGGCCAGATCATGAACGCGTTCTCGGAAGTGAATATTACCACCTCATAGTTGGAGGCAGCTACTGTTTGCAGGAACTGGTCCACGCCGGGACGCTTTTTGAAGCTGGATGGGGAGAGAATGTCTTATAATTTAGGCATTATTTTGGGGAATAACAGTATTTCAAAGATTCCAATTTACTGAGACAAGGTAACACAGTAGTGAAATAGGGAGCCTGTCTACGGGAGCGGAGCGAGGTGGCAGAGTGGTCACTGCAGATGGCAGCAGAGCGGTTAGTTCTTCAGTGGACAGTGAGTTGCAAATTTTTTTGTATTACAAAATCGGGAAGCAGAGGTGCTTAGCGTCTAGAGAAACAGTTCGCAACTCCGTTCTACACTCATTCTCGCCTCGCTTCGCTACCTAACTCCGCGTCTTTGGACAGACAGTTTGGACGGACAGACAACTGCTCCGCATTACTACCTCGCTTCGCTACGCTCAGCTCCGGTAAAATTTTATCGATGATTTTAAGCGACAAATGGTCTTATCGCGGCGCTCATCGTAATGAGGGTTTTCGCGATTGAAAAATCCGCCGGATGGCAATACGTAGACGCGAGGTCCAAATGCTGCATGATTGGTTATTTTTGACATGTCATTGACAGATATGTCAAAATCCACCAATCACGCAGCAGTCAGACCCCACATCCACGTCCCGCCATCTAGCGGATCTTTCATTCGCGAAAACTCTCATTATGACTGAACAGAGTGATACGGCAGGTACAAAAGACACTTAACATCAGTGATATTCTATTTATTGCGAAGATAATTTACAACCATGTGCACACACTTGAATGGTAGGAAAAAGAGACCATAGAGCATACAACGCTTCTGGGTTGCCAGATATCGTTATTAAATTTTTACCAATGACTACAGGACACTAGTGTGTGAGAAGTAGCACATGATCATCGCTTACCGCCATCCAGTCTGGTAGGACCAGTCGGGGTGCACCAGCACGTCGGTGAACTCCAGCACCAGCGTGTAGGCTGGCTGGTAGGGCGCCGGCAGCACGTCCGGCAGCAGCTTCTCGCGGGACGGCTCCTTTATCATCTGCAACCCACGAGAACGGTTCACTTCAAGTTATAGAAAATGGGCGTTAATAAAGTTGCATTTGAGCGAAGCGGCTATCTGCTGCACGTCATTTATGCTAGTAACGACTAAAGGCTTCCACAGACCAAACGCGGGTCAGAAGCAGTGCGGGTCAGTTGCAGCGCGGCTGAGGCACACTGAAAGCGGCGCAGTTTAAAGCAGTTGCAACTCGAGCGGTTGTCAAAAATTTAATTATTCGAGAACCGCTTTTAACGCGCTGCTACCGCCCTGCGTCCGGTGTGTCATGCTAATATGGCCGTCGTAGTAATACAACAGCGCGAGCCCGCGTTCGTTCGGCAGTTGCAGTGCGGCGCGGTTGGAACGCGGGCCCGCGTTCAAATTTGGTGTGACGTACTTCTAAGAGTTTCTTATATTACAACGTGCGCGGGCCCGCATTCAAACTGCGCTGCTACTGCCCTGCGTTTGGTCTGTGGAGGCCTTAACAATTAGAATAATAATTTGACGCTTTGCGCCACACCGCGTCTCTAAGGGCCGCTGCTAAAACTTTGCACGGGGGCACCCAAGATGCTCCCGACGTCTGCCGCGGGTTTGCACCAGAGGCGGACACCTGACGCGTGCGACTGTATATTAATGCACGGAAATCGACACCCATATGTCCATCACTCGCCGCGTGTGTATGCAAGTGATGGATTTCCACTTGTGGTAGTGGTTTTAGCGGAGACCCTAAAGTGCGGTCGGAATTCGGACCTTTATAGGAGCAACTAGCTTTGGTCGCCCGCTACGCGGGCTACAAAAGCTAGATCTGCGATGCTGGCCGCTCCGGGCTTCGCCCTACGCGGCGCTCGGCCTGCGGCCTCGCATTCAGAGCTCGGCCTTCGGCCTCGCAAAAATTACAGGGGGTGTTTATTGTCTGTCACTGTGCTCTTGTGCTTTTTTGACGCAACACAAGTAAATCTATGGGTACTGTGGGGATTTGAACCATCGCTCGGCCTTTGGCCTCGCCTTTCTGTCTGTCACTGGGCTCTAGTCCTTTTTTGACGCATTAAAAATAAATCTATGGCGACTCACAGGCTTTAAACTATCGCTCGGCCTTCGGCCTCGCCTTTTTCCGCCCGGAACATTGTACCCCACTCCGGTGTCGCCATCTGCCGGAAAATTACTACCAAAGTTTGTGAATTTTTTGATCGCAACAAAATGGCCGACGGCTCAGCCGCCATCTTGTTTTTTGATAATCTGTGAATGTATCTCTTAAGAAGACTATACATGTCACAAATACTCAAAAGAAATTTTCAAAAACAATTGCGCATCTCGGAGTAACACCTCCCTAAAAACACCTCGAAATCGAATTTTCAATCCAAGATGGCGGCGCGGCCATTTTGTTTTTCCGTTTTTTTCTCAAATTTTTTAGCACACCTTGGCAACCCCAACAAACCACCAAAAAAGAAAAAATTCAGGATGAAAAACAAAAAATTTGTTGTCTCAAAAAATGCCGCCATTTTGTTTTTTGGTTCAAAAAATCTAAAAAACCTGGGTGTTGAAAAATCTAATTTAAAACAAACACCAACAATTTTACCCCCCTCCCCTTTAAACCCCCCAAAAATACCCCTGATCAGTGAGTGAGTGAGTGAGTAGGAATCGAGCTTTATATATTATAGATTACTCAACAAATACGGTCACATGAAAGTGCATTACCTTCTCGTAGAATGTGAGCTCCTTCCACGTGCGCTTAAGGTACTGCAGAACAGTCGGCAGGTTGGAGAACTCGTCCTGCAGCGGCTGTCCGTCGTCGCCGCGCCTCGGCGCTCCCATTTCCACCACCAGGCAACCGCCCATCACCGTTAGGGATACGCCGAACACTGCGAACCTGAAAATCACATGTTTTTCATTTGTTTATTTTTTATTTCAAAATGTATTTTTGTATCAATCCAAGGTCAGAGGTGGAATTGTGTAAAGCAATCGCAACCATTTGACAGTTCATAACGTACGATAAAGTCAGTTAAACAAAGCGTTTGACAGAATAATCGTACGTTATGAACTGTCAAATAATTACAATTGCTTTACACAATTCCACCTCAGCTCCAGAACAACTGTGTTGTCTTATCTGTGCCGTTGTGTTTGTCTGTTTTAGGTATGCATGCTAGACTATACCTAATAGCACTCAAGGTTTATAACTTCATATACCGTGTAATGGCTATGCTCACATGACATTGGCAAACGTGGAAACACAATAGCCATAGAGGAGAAGAAGTATTGTCAAAAATGCTCAAAACATTTTAACAAGAGCAGTTCTTGTATCATTGGATATTTATGATGAAGTCTTCAGCAAAACTGTTACCTTTAAAAAAGTTTTGCTTCATATTTTTTTATTAGAAACTTAATAGATATTCAAGGTGCTCTACAACAGAGGCCTTCCTCCCAATTCCAAACTACAATGTGGTAGTAGTTGTGCTCAAAGAATAATAATAATTCTTACCATAATACTATAATAATGGTAGCTGATAAATTGCAGAAGGTGATTGAAGAACAATTGAAGGGTGGGTTGCTAGACTGATTGGTCTCTGTCAACCAATGGACTATGACCCCATTCTTAACATGTTTTCACAAAAAAATATTAAATTTAACACAGACGTAGGCGGAAGTAGGTAGGTAGTATCTAGCCGATGTTTGGACCAGAATTTGATTAGTTAGTGCACAAAACTTTTAAATGCAAAATTAATTGTCGGCCGTTTGGTGTAGTGGTTCGAAACGGGCTACTATTCCGGAGGTAGCGGCTTCAATTCCCGCACAGTACAAACATTTGTGTGCATGAACATATTTGTTTGTATTGGACTGGGTGTTTTCTATGTATAATAAGTATGTATTTACAAAAAAAAGTATTTAAGTATGTTTATATCCATTTCTAGTACCCATAGTACAAGCTTCGCTTAGTTTGGGACTAGAAGCGCAGTGTAAAATGTACAAGGAAATTTATTTATTTTAATTAAAAAGTAGACAGCGTACCCAATCTTCATCCTTCTCCAACTTTTCTCATTTTCCTCCGTCTTCTCTTTGTTCTCTTTCTCGAACTGTTCCTGCTCCTTCTTAATTTCCTGTGCATCAATGTCTTTGATAGGGCTTTGTGGAAAGAAGCGCCCTAATATGTCTACCTTCTCTGCTGCCTTGCCATCTTTATTTTTGTCACCTAGAAGTATTTTACAAACTACTGTTAATATACTGTTATAAATTTTCAAATAAAGTTGTGAGGATAACACAAAATTAAAAGCAATACATTTATACAAGAAACTACTAAATACTGAAATAGGGAAGTATATCTGTGATCATTATTAGTGAGACAGTCTATGCTCCGAATTAATAGGAAACAAATTTTACTGCAAATAAGCAGTTATACAATAGGCAAATAGAAATTTTTGCAAGTACAGAAAAACTAACCTATATTTTCGGCTGAATAAAATCTTGCTGAATTCGCCGTAAATAACCAGTACTTTGGCCTAGCAAAATTTGTAGTCTGAAGTTTTGTAGTTTTACAACAAATAGCTTTAGTCAGAAATAGTGCTTTTCGAAGAGACATTTTAAAAAAATCACATTTAATTCACAACAAAATTGAACTGAACACAAATGTCACTTTTTAATAGTGTTCCTTTTTGTCAGCTCATTGGGTAAATTTGAACTTTTTCAGTGATGTACTTGTGTTTATGATTTTCGTGCGGTATTGCATTACGTAAAATAGATTATACAGACTTTAGTTAAAATGATTGAAATGGAACATTCTTTTTCTTTCTTTCTTTTTTTTAAACATATTAGCACCAAGGAATGTCTGAATATACTGGTGCCTGGTTTCCTTCATGCAGGTGACAGATCACACAATGAAAAAAATAAAAATGTCAGAAAAGATTCGCGGGAGGTCACTGCTAAAGATTTTTCAATAAATATTTCGTAAAATATTTGTACCTGTAGTGTAGTGATTGCACTTTTGTAAATTCAAAATAAATGAAAATATGGCATCGAAAAAGCTTGGTAGCAGTGATAAACAATATTCGATGATGAATTTTATTAAAAAAAGCAGTAGAGATCCCTCAAGGAGTAACAGCCCTAATAGGTATCTGTTTGTTAATAAAATCAAACCATATCTTTTTTATTATACACATTACTCCACAAAACATGCATAATAAGTTAGTATAATGATTATCTTTCTACTACAGTGGCGATAACAACAAAGTACTCGGTGTTGAGAAAAAGTCAAAGTTTGTTTGGAAGTCAAAATCCAACACTTCAAGTTCATGTAAGTTTAAAATTCACACATATTATTAATAATAAAGCCTATAATACTCTAAAAGATATTGTACTTAATTAATTTAACACTATTGTAGGTTAACAGTTTGTCCTTTGTCATAGGCCTCCTCCTAAGATCTCCACTTACAATAAAAAGTTTTTTAGAATTTATATGTATAACAATTCTTTTACATTACAGGGACTCCACCATTTAAGGCAAATGTAAGTGTGAATCCCTCATGAAAATAAAGGAATTTTAACTTGTTTTTGTTTGTTAGTATGAATTTAATATCTTATTCTGTTCTCTTCAGGGCCATTCTGATAATCAAGTGGCTTCGAGCATCCAACCAACAATGAATAAGCAGGCGAAACCAGTAGCAGCCAATATGAAGCAAATCCCAAATGAAAGGATCAAAGTTATGGACTCCATGGATGTTGTGAGTTATCTTTATTTTATCTGAACAGTCATTTGAACAATCTATGCTTATTTATTTATAGCTGAAAACATGTTTTAAATATGCATACAATGAAAATATTTTCTTTTTGCAATATAAAACTACACACAGAGGATTTAAAAAATAATAATAAATTGAGCTACAATGTAGTGTAGATGGCAATATAGCCTGAATTTATTGTGTGATTAAATCATGTTTTTTTCTTCTTTTTATTGTGTGAAGATAAATCTCACAATACAAAGAAGGAAAAAACATGATTGTTTTTAATTTACAAGTAAATGTTCTGTTCTAGGATGAGATCCCTGATTCCCCTGATATCTTCAATGATAAATGCAAGACTCCATCACCTGAAATTTCAAACAAATCAATCAGAATAAGTGCCACTCCCACCCCACCAAAATCCAAATCTTCTGTGGAGAAATCTGCCAAAACATTAAGGACTCCAGAGAAGTTAAGTCCCAGGAGAGACAATGACCCATTGAGAAACTTAAAACTAGATAGTTCTCTATCGGGGTTTTTGAGTAAGATATCAGAAAATCCAGCCCTCAGTCAAAAGGTAAGTTTTAACATTTAAACAAATATTAGTCGAAACATTACAGATTATGTGTAAAAAAAATTGCTCAAAAAGTATACAGGGTGTTAGGTAAATGGGTATATGAGCCGACACTAGCCCATGTTAACATGGTCATATAAATGGTATGGTGAAGTCAGAAAATTGATAATAATATCTTCATTTTAATTATTTTATTTTTCATACAGATCGTATTTTATAAAATTTATTTTGTATGAAAATAAAAAATAAATAAAATGATGATATCAAATTTCTGACTTCACCATACCATTTATATGCCCATGTTAACATGAGCTAGTGTCGGCTCATATACCCATTTACCTAACACCCTGTATTAAATTGTAGACATTTCATACATCCATAGATTGGAGTGGTGTTGTCTTTCGTTTTTCTTATCACCACTTAGAATATATTTTAAGTTTAAGGTCACATATTTTAAACCCTACTGCTGCTTCTTTTTATCAGATATTTTTTTTAGGAAAATAACTCACATAAGTTGGAAGACATAGAAAAATGTAAGATGCAGTACATAGAGCTGTTAGAGAAAATAAGTGATGCCTTTGACAGAATACCAAATGTTATTAGAGAGAAATTTCCAGGCTATGATAAGAGAACATATGCAAAAATGAAATCCCTAAAGTCAAAACTGAAGCATGTTATAAAGCAAAATAATGAGAATGATAAAGTACCGATACATAAACTAGAATCACCAAAAGTTGCTACTAATTTGAATGGTAGCAGTCCATCTATGTTGCAAAACTATGATGATGACCTTAGTGATTTTGATCTTGAGTCAAGTGTTATGAATAGAAAGAGGCTCTCTAACACTGAAATAAATAACACCAGTAAATTAGCCACTTCCACACCAGACACAATTAATTTCAATAAACTGCCTGGACCTAGTAAAACTATTTATTCAGATTTAATGGCCAAAAAGTCTCTCTCGTTTGACGCATTTTCTCCCCGAGACGATGCGTCAAATAATTTAGAAACTAGCGCCCAATCAGACACAGGGAATTTAGATGTGTCTGATAATGTTAACAAAAGCAAAGGCAAGTTTGTGTTCAAAAGACCTTCAAGGCTTATGTCCGAGGATTCTAGCAGTAAGACTTCCACACCTAACAGAGATGTGCCTTCAAGTACGCTAGAAAGACTAAAGATAGCCTCAGAAAAGCTGAAGCCTTTAGTGCAAGAGGAGCCGCCGAAATGTGCGCCCATAGCCAATAGTTCTGTAGAGTTCCAACCTCCTCAACTGAGCAAAAGTTCTCTGATGAATTATGATAAGCCATGTACTATAGTTTCTCCGATCGTAAAGGAGACCATAGTCCAGGATTATAGCGATGAAATAGACGACTACGAAATCCCTATTGACATGGACGATGAGCCAGATATGTATCTCGCAGAATCCAAAGGAAGCGTGATTAACATTAGTGATTCTGTAGCCAGTACTAGTAATGCTGAATGTATGAACAATCTGGATATACCAGTTGATGATGATGGTTTCCCCGAGTACCGGCCCGAAGACTTCGAAGACGACATGGTCCTGCTGACCAGTAAGGAGACAGAGGTAGTGAATTTGATGGACCAGTCCATTGCGAACGACAACGGGAAGGCCAAGTATGAAGGAATGGGGGACTTCCATGCTGGCACCAAAAACGATGGGATTACAGGTAAGGAATTAGAAGTAACTCAACTTTCGTACACAAGCAAGAAATACAAAAATATGAGTAGAGTAAAGAATTCTAGACGTGATAAAAACATAGGTTACTGGAAATACTATTGCATCGTTTTCCATCGCAATCAAGTTAATTTTCGCTTTTGTGGCGAAAATTCTTGAAGTCAAAAGAAAGTTCTCCAAGCTTAAGCCAAGTAGAGAGAGTCACAACAAGTCGCATCTCTCTAATGCGTCTCTTAAAGCAAAGCTGAAAAGATGATTTATTTTAAATTTAAAATCTTTATTGCACACAAAATCAAGCAGTGATTATGTGTAGGTAGATTGTTTGAATTTCAATAGACCAAACATTTAATTTGTAATTTGGACCTTATAGAGCCAGTAGTGTTGCACCAATTCCATTTCCTGATTTAATGGATTTTTTCATGAATTTTTTTGGAATCAGTGTCGTGTATACTACCACCCCTGAGATGGGCGTTGCTTTTACCAAACCACACTCTGTATAAAGCTACCTTAGCCTCAAACTTCCCTCGTCCCGCAGGCGAGTTTGACGGCTTCTCGTTCCCGCACTCAGAGCTGATGATGGAAACCTTCCGCGAGAAGTTCGGACTCAAGTCCTTCCGGCCCAACCAGCTGCAGGTCATCAACGCGGCGCTGCTCGGCCACGACGTCTTCGTGCTCATGCCCACCGGTGGAGGTCAGTGGGCTTCGATGATTCTGGTCTGGGGGCGTAGCGTGAGTGTACGTCAAACGCATTCGATGTCGACTGCGTATAAAAGTGACAGTAAATGTATGACGGATTGTACAGCGCCCCTAGCGGAAACTTTCAAGAACTAAAATGTTCATATATTTTTTCAACGCGCTCACTAGTGAGGACGTTTGATGTAACTGATAAACTCACACTAAGCCTAGACTAGATATGACTATGAGACTATGACTAGATATTTAGTTGCTTTGAAGTTTATTAAGAGTTAGTCAAAGATACAACAGTAAAGCGCTATAGTCTGTTGTAACATTCATTCAGAGTTGAATTTAAAGTTAAATTAGCGTTGCACACATATCGATAGTCTCTTGATTCTGTTGATATGTGTTGACTATCGATAGCCTGTTTCAGATTTTCCTAGGATGTTGGTAGTCGTAGTCTGCTCTATTTCTATTATGTAAGTAACTTATTTTCTCTCACAGGAAAATCATTATGCTACCAGCTGCCTGCGATTTTGACCCCCGGAGTCACCATCGTTATATCCCCATTAAAATCACTCATCTTGGACCAAGTGAACAAACTGCTTTCACTTGATGTAAGTATAAAATGTTCCTCGTAGAACGTTTTAAGAATAAAGATAAATAAAGTATGTGTTATTACAGTACAAGTAGCAGCTAATACGAATGTTGAAAACAACTCGTATCGCTGAAAAATTGCATACCGCGATGTAACTCGGCATAGCGACATCTATTGACAGTCATACGAACTAAATTGATACAGAATCTACGGGTTATACATTTTTTTCCTGACAACGAAAAGCATTGCCTGGTTGGTAGGTGATTGAAGGTGGAAGAGTGTTTCACCCGGAATCCTCAAACACAGCGGAACTGGCAATCTTACCAACTGCCGGAACACAACAATGCTGTTAACACTGTTGTCAGACTTATTTATGATGGCATAACTTTACAAGTTACAACGGACTTTCACAGATCCCCGCCGCGCACTTATCGGGCGACGTGTCTCTAGCGGCTACCGACGAGGTATACCACAAGCTGTCCATGCGGGAGCCGCTCATCAAACTGCTGTACGTCACTCCCGAGAAGATCAGCAGCTCGCCCAAGTTCCAGGACACGCTGGACAACCTGCACTCGCGGGAGAAGATCGCCAGGTCAGTGCCGATAATTTAGTGTAATGTCCGGCATTCACCGTAGATCCTCGTCGCGCACTTATCGAGCGACGTGTCTCAAGCGGCTGGACAACCTGCACTAGAGAGAAGATCGCCAAGTAAGTGCCAACTATAGTCTGGTCCGTGAGCACGTAGAATTTCGTCCAATGACCCCAAGCTACCCATCCTTATTGCTCGCGCGTAATTATGTTGCTATCGCGCTCGCACACTCACTGCGGGTGGCAGTCGCACAGTCGCGACAGCAATATAATTATGTGCAGGATGGGTAGCTAGGTAGGGGTCATGGGACAAAATTCTACGTGCTCACGGACCGGACTTTAGTAAGTGTGATGTCCGGCATTCACTAAAGATCTCTTACTAATCGGGTGACGTGTCGCTAGCGGCTAGGGGCCATCCATAAAGTACGTCACACGAATTTCGTGATTTTTTGACCCCCCCTCCGTCCTTGTCACAGGTGGTCACATTTCTGAGACCCCCCCCCCCCCTCCCTAGTGTGACGTCACATGTTTTGCAATTTCACATCGAAAAATTATTAAATTAACAGCAGTTCCGAAATTAGTTTTATTTCCATTTAA